CAGTTGTCCGGGGCTTTTAAGCCAATTCGGCCATCTCTGAAAGCATGCTGGAGTTCTTTCTTGAACGGTTTGCTTGACAGGAATATTTGGTCTTGTCTCTCACTGGGGTTGTTTGGTGCCAATTTATTTGAAAGAAACATTAAGAGATATGGAGAACTAGCACCACATCTGGGAGAAAGTGAAAAGTGAAAATTCTATCTTGGAACTCCTGAGAGAAGTTTGGATCACAACATGGCCTACTTATCTAAAAACGCACTCTGATTTTTTTAAAAATAATTTTTTAGTTGTAGATGAATACAATACCTTTATTTATTTATTTACTTCTATGTGGTGCTGAGGATCAAACCCAGTGTCTCCCAAATGCTAGGCAAGCACTCTACACTGAGACACAAACCCAGCCCTAAAAACTACTGATTTAATGCAACTGTACAACTCTTTTATACATTTGTTACCTTGACGATTGTCATAACAAGGTTAATATGTGAAGGCTACAGCAAAGACTTACCCACCCAAGATAGGAAGTTTGGGAGCTAAAACTATTCAGAGCTTTAATTTCAAAGGGTCTGTTTCAATCCCCCACCTTTAGTTCACCCCTTTATCTTGAGGAAATTGGGGTGCATTTTATAGGTAAGACACAGTAATGCTGCCAGGCGTGGTGGTGCATGCCTGGAATCCAAGCTACTCAGGAGGCTGGGGTGGGAGGATCGCAAGTTCAAGGCCAGCATGGACAACTTAGCAAGACCCTGCCTCAAAATAAAAAAATTTAAAAAGGGTTGGGAGTGCAGCTAAGTAGTGGAGTGCCCCAGGGTTCAATTCCCAGTGCCACCAAAAACAAACTAGTATGCTAAACCACCTAGTTAAAGGGTTTTCCTTAGTGTCACTAAGTTTTTCTCCTGATGGTATCAAATCCATCCCATAATCAGTCCTGCTAAATAACCCAGTTGTCATTTGCAATGGAGTCCAGATCTGCCCAAGCCCCTCCCGAAACGGGTCAGACACCACTTTCCACCATACATGTAATTCTGTAGTATTTTATCACTTTATATAGGATAAACCTTCCTTTTTGGGGGGGTAGGGGTAGAGGGTACCAGGGATTGGACTCAGGGGCACTCAACCACTGAGCCACATCCCTAGCCTTAGTTTGTATTTTATTTAGAGACAGGGTCTCATTGATTGCTTAGTGCCTTGCCGTTGCTCTGAACTGGGATCCTCTTGCCTCAACCTTCTGAGCTGCTGGGATTACAGGCACCCGGCAGGATGAAGCCTTTCTTTTGAGCAGTGTCTCCTATACAGAGGAAATGTGGGGCCTGCTGTGTCTGGCCTGGAGGGGAGGGGCAGAGGCCTTTGGAGGGCAACTCCCAAGCGCACAACGAAGGTGATTTCCCTTGGACCCTTTTTTTTAATATGCCACTGGAGCAAACTCCACCCCAAGTTCAGCTGTAAGTACATTCACACACACGGATATGAAATTAAAAGATTTAATGACATTATTTATGTTTAACAAATAGCTCAGAAAACAAAACCTGATACCTTTAAGCTCTCAGGCCAAAGGAGATACCTCATATCCCTTCTCCATTTCAACTAGGAGAATTTAATTAAAATAAAGTTATTCGATTTTAGTTTAATCTAGTACCAAATGCAGATAATACGGGGAACAATCAAAAAATTCTGAAATATATAACCAAGGTCCTGGCACACATTCTATGAGATAAGCTTTTTTAAACGATTATTTTTACTCATCTATAGTTACCAAACCAACCCCAGGATTCACCAATGGGCCTACCATTTTAGCCCAAGTAAAATTCACACAGTGGCTAGTGAGATAAGACCAAGATTCTCAACCTCAGCACTGGTGCATCTGGGGCCAGGTCATTCTTTTTTATGGGGACTGTCCTGCGCACTGCAGGGTGTTGAGCAGCATCCCATTAGATGCCCGCAGTACCTCTAGTTGAGAACTGCAGGGTCAGACAGAGAGTCTACAACCAGCACCAACTGAATAAGTTGTGAGGCGCAACCTGTGCCAGCTTCACCAACCCAGAATGAAGCCTGGAGGACAGACTAGAGGGGGTCAGAGAGGAGGAGGTACATGGAGTACCACTGAGTCTTACCCACCTTGAACTACACTCCAGTTCAACTCAAGGCTCAAGAAGGAAACCTGGCTTACAAAGGTAAAGAACCCAGGAAGAGATGGGCCTACCGACTTGACTGTGTTACACAGAGGGTGGGCTGGGCCAGGAGGAGATCCTCTCTACTGGCTCTGGGCCTTTGCATGTCCTGACCCCTCACTCCATCGCAGTCACTTCTCTTCCTACTCCAACTGGCTCATCTTACCCTTCAGGTCTCAGCTTCATGTCACTTCCTCCTGGAAAGGTTCTGGTTCCTTTCCCCAGGGCCCACCTGCTCTGGATGGCCCACTTAGTGGCACCTGGCATCCACACTTCTCCAGGCGCAATACTTATCACCTACTGCACATGTCCCCTGTATATGTAAATGAACTCAGCAGGTTTAGTTTTCTGTTTGATACTCCCATGACTCCACGAGGACAGGGACCCTGCCCTAGCAAATGTCACACTCTCCGCAGAACCTGTCAAGACACCCGATACATGGAAGATGTCTCCTCCCAAATGTTTGCTGAAATGACAAAAGATATCACTTTTCACTGAAGGGCAAGGGAGGGCCAATAAGTGAGGCTCATGACAATGGAATTAAGCACGTGGTCACCGTGGCCAACAGAGCCATCAATGTGTAAGCTCACTTATTTCTGCAAAGGTGACAAGACTAGAGAGTACCAGGCAGAAGCAAATCCCAAACGACGATATGGAAAACGTGCGGGTCTCTGCTTTTAGCCACATAGATTTGGAGTGTTCACCAGTCTCTTATTGTGATACTTCTTTTGGACAGGTGTTTTGTATCCTGAACCAAATCACATACCTGCCAATGTGTCGATGACATTTACCAATGACAGCTGACCACTAAACCAGCGTTATAAGGAGCGATCGTTTACATATCAATGGGGAGTACCACGGGGAGAGCGAGGGCCAACCAGGACCCCTCGAGAAATGGATCATGTCTGTATTCAGAAGGCACATGCCACAGTCGCCCCATGGGCAGCAGGCCAACTGCTGACATCTGTTCTGTGTAGTGTCCCTCACCATTGCCAGCTTCCAACAGCAAGAACACAGAGACATTTCCATCTAACTTTTGTATGAAGAATTTAATTATCTATACACGTAACTAATTCAAAAGGTTGTATTACAGTTGTTAAAGCCGCAGGTTTATATATTTATATATTTTACATTCATATCGTGAAAATACTGCAGCGCAGGCGGACGAGGAGGAGCTGTCCTCGTCCTCTGCACCGTGCAAGTGGAGGACTCCACACAACCGCCAGCACAGAGCCTCTCGAGACGTGAACACAGAAGAGACAACGTGTTACAGAGTCATTAATAGGACAGCTGGGTTGTGCTTGAGCCCCCCACCCCACCTCTGTGCTGTCAGCAACTGGCGTTTTTATTGAGAGCTTTCAACGAGTGTTGAAGAGACAAACATGGCTTCAGCTACAGCATGGCTAACACATGAATGACCATGAGCTCCATTTCATATTAATCTGTAGAAATTCCACAGTCTAGTTAAAAAATGTAAACATTGGAAATTAATTGCAGGGAGACTTCTACACATTCTTTCTTGTCAGGAAAATTACTTGTTCAAAATGTGTCATTCCAACAAAAGTAATTGGAATAAAAACTTCATGTAACAGAGACTAGAGAGACTATAGACACTGTGGATTGGTATGAAAACACACAAAATTAAAAACCCCAAACAAAACACCAACTCAACCAGATAAATCTGAGACCAAACAAAAACATAGGTGCTTTCTCATGTGGCTACAAGGTCACTGTGCAAAATAAAATTAATGCAATGTGGTTAGATATCATACAAGAGCGTTTGCCATGGGGAGAACTCATTTCTTATGTACAGGATGGATTACATGCGCAACGAGTACATCTGATACACACGAGCACAAAACACCTTCTTTTTAATTGGGCTCACTCTACACATCTTCAAAACATACACTGAACTCCTCTGTACTGCTACGGTAGGGGGGAAAAAACCCCAAACTACACAATTTAGTTGGTAACACTGGACAAAATGAAAAATACAAGTCTCAGATTTATGGACATTTGGAACAATTTTTAATAGCACATGCAGCATTCCTTGATAGTGGGTCTTTTTGCAAAACCAAAATAGCAAAGAAATGACTGATTGATTGATTTTTATTAAAAGGCTAAAATATATATACTTAAAAATAATCTTAAAACTATTGAAAGCACCTGTGCAAAGGTGGGGGAAGTCAATTTGAGTAACTAGGAAAGCCACAAAAGGACCCACTACCCTGTGTATTTTTGTAATTTTTGCTTCTGTCTCTGCAAGTAATAACTCAAACATTGCGATCACATGCAACTACGGTAAAATGAGGTAAACTGCTCTGCAGTGAGTTCTTCTACTCAGAAGGCAGTAGGTGATCATGCTGGAAGTCACATGATCAAGGCTGCATCTCCCATCATCCCTCTGGGCAGTGATATGGGATAGTGGGTCTCTTTGAGGACTTTCAAGCCTGAGGGGGGGATGGACAACATATGATTCCTAGAAAAAGGAGGAAAACAACACATAAGCAAAACAAAACAATGAGCAAAATTCAAGCTAGGAAAATGAGTTGGGCATGTCAACAGCATGGTGCCAAATGATTTAAAAAAAAATAGGAAAAAGGGGGAGGGAAGGGAGGGGACATGCTACAGAAGGAATGAAAATTTAAAACAAAAACAAAACAACCCCACGAGATAAAGTTTTGCATTACAGAAGGTCTTCAAAGAGACGGTTGTGAATGCAGCAGTGGTCTAGCTTTAAGTTCTGCAAACCAAGCTCAGCAGAATCAGAGCAATGCTGCATGTTTCACTGGAAGGTACCAGAGAGGAGAGGAACAGAGCCACCAGGGCACTTACATTGCTGGCTTGGGTCCATGTCTGTGGTCAGCTTCACATAGTTGGATGGGAAGAGCCCCACTTGTCCATTGACTTCCCCTTTCCACCAGTCGGGGTCCTCCTTGTTGAGGACGTTGATGATCTGGCCCTTGTTGAAGGCCAGCTCGTCGTCATTCTGCGCAGTGTAATCGTACATCCCGATCACCTGGCACACTGCAGAAGACAGGGCTGGGTGAGCAGCTGCACACCCTCCCTGGCACATGTGTGAGGGGTTACATGTAGCCAGCAGACATTTTCACAGATTATTTTTGCCCTTTCAAAAGAAGGTACTGTGAGCCGGGCATGGCAGCACACCCCTGTAATCCCAGTGGCTCGAGAGGCTGAGACAGGAGGATTGTGAGTTCAAAGCCAGCCTCAACAAAAAGCGAGGTGCTGAACAACTCAGTGAGACCCTGTCTCTAAATAAAATACAAAACAGGGCTGGGGATGTGGCTCAGTGTTTGAGTGCCCTTGAGTTCAATCCCCGGTACCAAAAAAAAAAAGAGCGAACAGTGAAGTGGAAGTGCCCCAAGGGGCTTTTCATGGTGCAGGCAATAGAGGAAGATGAAGGATCAAAACTAAGACAACAGCAAAATTTTCACACTACGCCCTTGGTTTGTACATCTTCCTCTTTTTTGGGTTTACTTGTCAGCAGAAAATTTAGAGTGACCGGGTCTCTGGCTTTGGACGTGGTGGAGCTCCTTCTAATGCTGACTAGAGGACACTTGCCAGCTTCCGCTTTATGGGACAGCTGGGGACTGTGGGACTCCACTGTCACTTTTACTTCTTTCTCTCTGTCATTTCCTGTGTGTGTGTTACTGCAGATGGAACCCAGGGCTTCATGCAAGTAGACAAGTGCTCTTCCACTGAGGCACATCCCAGCTCCTTCCCTTTTTTTTTTTTTAAAGGTGAAAGGCAATTATTATCTGACCTTCAAAAACTTCCAAATCTTAGTGTAAAGTAAAATTGGGTGTTTTAAAAAAAATTTCTGCTTTATCTTTGTGTCTCAAAGAAATTTTCACATGTCAACAATTTTTCTCCTTTTCTCTCAAATCTACAGGAAGTTAAATTATTTTCATTCTCTGCCATCTTGACACTTTGGAGAAGTCTGCACCGTTGGGTCACAGTCTCCAATTAATCTGTCATAGCCATCTTTGTATAGGTTCAGGGTTTTCAACCCTCCAGTTAGCTAAATTAATCACCTCAACAGATAAATTCAGTGGGTTCCAATCTACCTGATGAAGGGGGCTGCACACTGACAATAGGGGGCACCAGATTTCCCCAGGACAGTGGATACAGCTGGTACTATACCCCTCTGCCTACACAGGTCTCTGTTTGAGGAAAGAGGCCCAGCTGGGGTCAGGACTCAGGAAGTTTACCAATCCTTCAATTTCTTGCAAAGGCTGCCAAATTTTAATTTTATTTCACTAAAGACACCATGTAGACATTTAACCACAAGGTAATGGAACAAAAATTTCATGTTTCCCACAAATGCCACCTAAGAACTGGTGTCTAAAAGACCTAAAGCAGCAATTTGCTCCCTACTCTCACCTCTCTCAAATGTTACTGAAGCATCTAATTTAGTCCTTTAGATCAGAAAATAGTCAACCGGGTCAACTGCAGTGCTGTCCTTTTTAATTCTCTAGGAAAGCCTGCACAACATCCTGCCCATTCAGCGAGGCCCCCTCTGTTCACAGTAAATGTCACAGGGAGTTATTTCAGTCTTCTGTGAACACACTGCAACCAACAGATCCTCGTGGCCTCCAGCTCCATCTCCTGACCCTATCTAGACCCCAGCCATTTATTTTTAGGAGCCCCTCTCTGCGGCCTCATCCACTAGTCCAAATCTCAATTTAAATAGCTGGAAGGAAATCAAGAGAAAAATCTGGCTTTAATGCCACAGCATTCATGACTCCTTCAGGAGAAGAGTTCCAACAAGGGCTCTGTTGTGCCCAGCACAGTCAAGCTACTTAGATATTAGTCCTTTTGAAAAGCATTCTGTATCACATTAGCTGGGGGTCAGTTCCAGAAGTACAAGAAGTGCTTAGTGCACATGTGAAAAACAATTTAAAATACTTAATGAGAAGGCTGCGTGGGAGAACTGAAGTGACACGCATGCAGGTCATTTTTCAATGAGACTGAGAACTCCTTACCTGCCGGCAATGCCGCTGACTTGGGCAGCTCTGTCGGAGTGATTTTGCTTGTCCCAGGGCTTAGAAGTTTGACATAATTAGCTGGGAACCAGCCTATCTGGCGTTTCTTCCCACGTGCCTGGTAAGAAAATAATTGGATCAAAAACTTATAAATGTTCATCTTCTGTTATGATACAATTTGCTTTGTAGCAGAACACTTATGCAAAGTTTATATAGAACTGAAATACAAATGGCATAAACAGTAGAATCTATGGATTACCATGACATAAAAATCAGATGTTGTTGTGAAAATTCAAACAGTCGCAGCCATTGGTCAGCAAAGCCTGAAATGGCTTTAAAAGGACTGGATCCTGTGGATTTAAAATTCAGAATATTCTGTGGTGTGTCTAAGACAGAAAACTAGTTAGTACTTAGCTACTAATTTCAGATAATGTGGAGATTATAGTTAATCCCAACATTACATTTGGGTTTTAGGGATAAAAACAATGATGGCCATCAAAACACACTAAGTGCTTTTTATGAGCTCTGCCAAGCATCTTATATCCATTTATTCACATAGTTCCAAAGGGACAATGCTATTATCATTCCCAAGTTCAAGGAAGAAAGTGAGCTTGGAAAAGGTATATGACAGTCCAAAGGCTAGGGGTTGGTAAGTGGTAAGCCAAGAGTTACATGCCTGCACTCTTTGTAATAATACACCCTAAGATGCAAAAAGATGTAGATGCAGGACCCACAGATCACAAGAAGTCTCAACTTCACACTGTTTTCAAAACACTATCAGGCTACAGCCACATTTTCACTGTCACTCTTTTCTCCATTGCTCAATCTGATTCAATCAAATTCCATCTACTGAGTGCTTACATTTGAGATAATTGTCGGAAAGAGTTCACACATGACATGAAGAGCTTATAATTGGTGAGCCAAAGCTTGCAATTGCAATACAGTTCCACGTAAACAGACAGACACCCACCCAGGCTATCTCTAGAAACTAGGCCCTGATGAAAGCAGTTGCCTTTGAGGACAGGGGGTTTAAAGGGAGAGATCTGAATCCCTTTTAGTAACTTCTGAAATTTAAACCACATGAATATAATACCTATTCCCAAAACAAGGAAATAAAACTAAGAGAAAAACTTCTATCACCCTACTTCTGCCCTCCCATCTGCCAACTTATTAAGGATATCTCTGGGTTACTTTTTTTTTTCGGTACTGGGGATTGAACCCAGGGGTGCTTAACCACTGAGCTTCTACCCTTTTTTAATATTTTATTTTGAGACAGAGTCTCGCTGAATTGTTTAGGGCCTTGCTGTTGCTGAGGCTGGCTTTAAACTTGTAATTCTCCTGCCTCAGCCTCCCACGCCACTGGGATTACAGGCCTGTACCACTGTGCCTGGCCCTCTGAGTTATTTTCAGGGTGTACATTTGGTTTCACCCTCCTTGTGTCTGACAGTCTCCATGCCCCTGACTCAAAGACTAAAGCATTTACTCTCATGGTAAATCTGCCCAACATTTAAAAAAAAAAAAAAACACGTTTACACAATTGCACATGTTTATCTATCTACAACTGCAATGAATTCTCTTTGTCCCCACCTCTGCAATTCTACAAAAGCAGAAAACAGAGCCTGTTGATAATTTCTTCATTTGTCAATCCAGGCCAAGAGGGACTCTGTAAAGCACCAGAAGCTATCCTGGGCATGGGAATCCATTTTACAGAGGGTTCCAAGAACCACCAAAACTCTCTTTGAGCAAGGTGTTAGGAGATAAGCACTAAAAATGTGCTGCCTTTATAAAGAGCTGGTTGCCTACACATGGAAATAACTACGGGAAAGCTAAGAAACATACCAACGTCATCTGTGGAACACCAGGGTGAAGCTGGCAGGGGACCATTCCCAAATTCAGGGGAAAGGAGGCAGTGCTTCTGGCTGAGATGGCCCAGAAAGCCTCTAGAGGAAGTGGGCTTTGGCTAACTCTTGAGAAATCAGAGGGGGTCAACCCCTTAGGGAGGAATGTTAGGAGCCAAGGCAGCTAAGTACAAGAGCCCGATGTTGGTGGTTTTAAACAAATTGTCCAATAAGTATGGAATGGTTGCTAAAGAGTGTAAGGTGGCACAGGGAAGAAGGGGCACAACAGGAAGTCTCCACAGGTAGGCTGAAGGGGAAAGGCAATGGGAGCCACTGAGTCTTCAGAGAAGGAAAGGAACATGTAGATGGTAAGGCCAGTGGTAATGGTCTCCCTGGCATGAGCAAGCCCTCTCCTCTCCCTGCCCAGTGCAAAAACAGGCACATTACAAAGCAGAGTGGATTTCCAGGACTCCAAAGGTCAGATCCCTCAGCCAGGAAGCTGTATCTAGCAAGCGCTTCTGGACAGGGTTTTTATGGCTGCTCACCAGCGAGCTCCCAGGGAACTTTCACCACTAGGCACACTCCCGGCTACTATGCCTTCTCTTCTAATGGACAGTCTTTAGTCCAGAGGGATCAGTATGTCCAGCTCACCACAGTATGGATCTTCCCCTACTCAGCCAGGGTTGGTCTAGACAGAACAGTGAGCAGAGGACTTGTCTTCAAGTCCTCCTTCCTTCCTGAGCCACGTGCCTCCCATATGGGCTGCTCTAATCCCTGCTCTTCAGTACCTGTTGAGGTGCCCTCCACAGCCAGCACCCTGTAAGCAAACTTTCTCTTTCCCTCCCCCATCTTGGCTATCTGCAGAGTCCTGCTCAGGGCCAGATGAAAGGCACAGATGTGACAACCAGCCCACAGCACACCAGTGGACACCTGAGGATCACTGCAAGCTCCTTCCTTAGGACAGTAGGGTTCTCATAAAAGGGATTCTAGAAACTACTTGTTCACATGCTTGGCAAGTACTGAGGCCCCAGTGTCATGCAGCAGGCCTCAAGATTGACTCCATAAAGGAAGATCTCAGTGTACCTTACCACACATATCCCTTCTGCACAAAGGCCAGAAGGCTAATTGGGAAACTTTCCCTTTGGCAGGTCCCTAAGGGCTGCCCATGTGGGTAAGCCAGGGAGGACGCTGTCCTTTACACTATGCTATGAAGCAAGATGGACCTTGGGTCGCCAAGGCTGGTCTTCACTTTCGTAGTGGAGGAGGTTGCGTGTAGGAGGCAAACACTTCCTGTTCAACAGTCAGCAGACTTATCTGTCAAGTACAGCTGTCCTTAAGTATCTGGGAGGAGGAGAGTGGTTCCAAGACCTCTCCAGATTCCAAAATCCAAGGATACTCAAGTTTCTTATATACAATGACATATATTTTCATATAACCTGTGCACAACCTCCTATATATTTTAAACCATCTGTAGATTACTTATAACACTGAATACAATGTAAATGCTATGCAAATAGTTGTTACACGACTCAGTTTAGAGAATGACAAGAAAAAAAAAGTCTTCTCATTTTCAATATAGATACAAATTTTTCTCAATTTCAGTCCATGGTTGGTTGAATCTGTGGATGTGAAGCCCATGGCTACAGCCATGTAATTTTGCTATAGAAGTAAATTTTTAAAGCAACTTTTTATTTAGAAATAATTTCAAGTCCTTTGTGTATAGACCAAGGAGAGGGATAGTTGGGTCAAATGGTGGTTCCATTCCCAATTTTCCAAGAAATCTCCATACTGTTTTCCATATTGGATGCACCAATTTGCAGTCCCACCAGCAGTATGAGTGTGCCTTTTCCCCCACATCCTCACCAACACTTATTGTTGTTCGTCTTCATAATAGCTGCCATTCTGACTGGAGTGAGATGAAATATTAGAGTAGTTTTGATTTGCATTTCTCTAATTGCTAGAGATGATGAACATCTTTTCATATATTTGTTGACTGATTGTATGCATATCATCTTCTGAGAAGTGTCTGTTCAGGTCCTTGGGCCATTTATTGATTGGGTTTTTTTTTTGGGGGGGGGGGTTGGTGCTTATCTTTTTGAGTTCTTTATATACCCTAGAGATTAGTGCTCTATCTCACTATTAGTGCTCTATCCTCAGTCTATACCCAAAGGACTTAAAAATAGCATACTACAGGGACACAGCCACATCAATGTTTATAAAAGCACAATTCACAATAGCTAAATTGTGGAACCCACCTAGATGCCCTTCAAAAGATGAATGAATAAAAAAAAAGTGACATATATACACAATGGAATATTACTCTGCAATAAAAGAGAATAAAATCATGGCACTTGCAGGTAAAGAAGATAATGCTAAGTTAAGTTAGCCAATCCTAAAAAACCAAATGCCGAATGTTTTCTCTGATATAAAAGGAGGCTGATTCATAGTGGGTAGGGAGGGGAAGCATGGGAGGAATAGGAGAACTTTAGATAGGGCAGAGGGGTGGGAAGGGAAGGGAGAGGGCAGGGGGTTAGAAATGATGGTGGAATGTGATAGACATTATTATCCAAAGTACATGTATGAAGACACAAATTGGTATGAATATACTATGTATACAACATATGAAAAATTGTGCTCTATATATGTAATAAGAACTGTAATGCATCCTGCTGTCATATATAAATAAAAAAATTAATTTAAAAACTGGAAAAAAAGAAATAATTTCAAACTAACAGAAAAGCAGCAAGAACAAGAAAAGTATATAACACCCTTTACTTAGATTCACCTGTTATTAACATTTTATCCCATCTGTTTCATTATTTGCACATTCTCTCTCCCTCCCCCCATATCCTCTTCACCGTAATTTCTTTTTCAGAATTACCTGATTACAATTTGCTTACATTATGGCTGGTTACCCCTAAATAATTCGATGGGTATTTACTAAAAATAGGAATAGTCTCTCATAGGACCATAGTATGGTTTTCAATTTTAGTAAACTGGTACAATAATTTTATCTAAGCCAGGATCAATGATGCCTATCTACAACCATAGTTACTCAGGCAGTTGAGACAGTATGATCAGAAGTTTAAGGCCAACCTAAGCAACTTAGTGAGACCCTGTCTCAAAAATAAAAGGGTCGGGATGTATCTCAGTGGTACAGTGTCCTGGGTTTCATCCCCAGTACCAAAAAGAAAATTTTTTATCCAACCTGGTGTCCACATCCCAGTTTTGTCCATTATCGCAGTAACATCCTTAAGAGCATGTTTTTGTCTCATGTGGGATCAAGTCAGATATTGCCATCAGCAGTCATGTCTCGTTTATCTCCTTTCTATGAGTTTTGTCATTGATGTCTTTGAAGAATACAGCCTCTCCCTGCCCCCTTAATTGGATATTCCTTATTCTGAGTTTATTTAATGCTTCTGCATGATTAGACTCAGTTGATGCACTTCTAGCCACAATAGTATGTGACACTGTCTTTTTCAGGTAGCATGTTTGGATGAATATTACGTCAATTTGTCCTCACTGGTGAAGATCACTTTAATCACTTGATTAGAGTGGTAACTTAGTTCTCAATGGTAACTTAATTACTGTGCAAATTATATGTGGTCTCTCTGTGGGAGTCACTCAAAGACCATAAGCAATTTCTATCCTTACTAAAAACTTCCCCTTAGGTTTGGCATCTAATGACGATTCTATTAATCTTTACAATGCTGATGTGACAGTAACCCTTTTAAAACTATTATTTCCTCTTGAAAGACTTAAAGAGGTTTCTGGAATGGCAACATGAATAACAAGCTATAAGAATAACAACAACGCCACCACAAACACACAAACTAAAAACAGCACGATGTACAGATGTGGCTTTATATAAAAAGGAACCTGCTACTGCAACGTGCTTCCTGAAACGACTGATGAGATGCTTCACTTTAGGATGCCAGGACCTCAAGGACAGCTCTACCTAGGCATCTGTCATCCTATGAATTCTCACTGTACCAACAGTGAATCGAGTGATTTGAACTTGGAAACTGAATGGATGAAATTTATTTATTTATTTATTTTTGGTACCAGGGATTGAACGTGGGGTGCTTAACCATTGAGCCACATCCCCAGCTTTTTTTGTTTTGTTCTGAAACAGGGTCTTGCCAAGTTGCTGAAGTAGGCTTTGAATTTGAAATCCTCTTGCCTCAGCCTCCCAAGTTGTTGGGATTATAGGTAGGCGCACAGGGCCTGAAAGGATAAATTTTAAAATGAATTCCTAGTTTTTAGAATTCAGACATTGCTACTGGCTGGCTGAAGCTTAGGAACCAGATTCAGATAAAGTGGTATTTCTCATTATTCAAGTGCAAGATTTAGGCAGTGATTGGTTCTTTGTACTTTGCAATAAAATACTGCCCCCATCTTGTATATTCAAACAAATTAGAATTTTAAATAAATAGAAAAAAAAAAAAAAAACTAACTTGCAGCTCTCCTTCCCACCATCCACCTGGGTTCTTTTTTCGAATCAAAATTAGCTGACCAGGGGCCAAGGTAAGTTGCTCAGGACCAGTGGCGGTATATGAAGCAATAACTTGAGCAATTTCTGAAAAACAAGATCAAACATTGCAGCATACTGTTAAGAGTCAGGATATGGAAACACTAAGAAATCACAGCCACCTCCCATAGTCTCAGATTAGCATCGTCAAAACCAGCATATGTGGCTGATTTTCTACTGGATGAGGGAGACTGAATCCCTCCCACTGTAGCCCCTTCCCCTAGCTATAGGGCAAATGCAGCGTTCAAGGGGCTTGGCCAATCCTTCTGTTGGGCTGTCTTCTGTTACTCCCTCATTGTCTCAGAACTTACCAGTTACTGCCATGAAGCCTGCTCCTGCCCACAGCCCCTCTTTAGCTTCCCAAACACCTGATACCAAGGGTTGGGCCTCACTCACCCACCCCACCCACCAGTGCTCAGTGAATAGAGGAAGTGTTCCCTCTGCCAAATACTTAGAGAAATTCTATTTTCCTCAAAAACCATCGGAAGCCTGGTAGCATCGAATTTCTATGTTGTGGCTTCAGACTCTCCCTCCTACCAACAAGACCATTTTCTTTATGGCTCACATTTGGGGGTGATCCCTGAACTGGTATGAATCATAGCAATGCAAGTTTACGTCTTTTTATGTCAAGTTAAAGGAAGGACCTGGAATTAAGAAGGGAATTTAATAATAAAAAAAAACAAACAATAATTCAACATAGAAAAAAATGCAAGCAATTCTGTACATTTCCTGAATATTAGAAATCCCACAGAAAAAAATTCCAGCAGGACCAGCCCAGGCACTGAAAAGCAAATTTCTGCTAGCACCAAGGTCAAGTATGAAAAGACAGACTCCTGCTCTGATAAATTCTAGCACATTTACAGCCACAGCTTCCTGAACTTCTAGAAGCAATCAGAACAAACTGCTCTATTCCTCTACTCTCACTCTCGGTCATAATGGTTCCTAAAAGAACAGGGCAGCGCAAGGAAGGATAGAAGGAAGATGAAGTAGAGAAAGATGAAAAGATAAAGGCCCCCTACTCTGATATGATCTCCTACTTTTCCACTAACTCCAGGGAAGGAATAAGATTGCAGCACTTCAGCCACCTGCCACTGCCCTGTTCTACAATCCAAGGTTGACGACTATGACAGGAGCACCAACCTGTCATGGGGCAGCCCTGGCCTGCCAGATGCTTCAGAGAACTCAGGGAAGTCCAGAGTCACCTTCCAGACAGTTTGGCTCTGCCTGAGAGCTCTTGCCCAGAACTACACAGGGATGAGGACTCTCCTGCAATGTGCCAAGGACAAGCTCTGGACTCCAACAGTTTTCAGTCTGGAGAAAGTCCCAGTTACTATCCTACTTGGCAACTGATATTTCTGCGCTTCAAAGGACCTGGCATATGAGTCAGCGGTCTACCCTGACATTCTCTGCTTCCTCTTGTGTCTCTGAGCAGCTTGCTAGTTCCAGTGTAAAGTTAAGTTCACCTGGGCATCACATATGAAACATCCGGACCCTTTGGAATGACAAACATTGAAAAGGTAGAAAGAAGACTCACAATTAAAGCAGAGATTTGGTCAGATGGCCCACTATCTGGAGTCTGACTAGAAACCTAAACACCCTGAAACCCCTTCTTTTTCTGGCTGAGTAAGCCCATCTGACGTGAGCACCAGACGGACACACAAATTCCTCAGCACAGCAATGACTGTTTCAACCTATAATTTCCTAAGGATATGAAGACAAAAAAGCACAAATAACTTAGACCAGGAAGACAGGCCACACAAACCATATTATTTCACATTGCTTCCTTCTGCTCTCTTTCAAGCTACTATTTTTAGAACATGTGATTTTGTTTAAATAAACTAAAACTAAACATAGAGGTATGACTATAATTTTGAACTTCCAATGTCCACCTGAGGAAAACCACCCAATCAATAGCTTCTAAATTAACGGGACCTATAAGATGATAATATTTGCTGCTCCTCTGATCTTTGTGTCTTGGGTTTAAAGTGCTGTCAGAAAATGAAGAAGGGCCTCCCAAGCCTAACAAGAAGATAACTAAAAAGCAGTGAACTTCCAGTTTTACACCTCTGTGTATGGCAATCTTCTACCATTTTGCCTGAGTTATTTCTTCATAACCCAGGGGAACGTTCTGTCTGGTGATGTTCCCACTCCCCATGTATGAAGTAACAGTGAAACTTCATAACCATGTATATGTTATTAGTAGAGTCCAAGGAAAGAGCCTATTACAACCACTCTCAGGAAAGGTTTCTTGGTCTGTACTTTACTGCTGGCCCTAATAAACAAAGATTGGAAGCAGCTATCAATTATATTCATAACAATAAAACATAAGCATTAGGGAATGTAACTTACCAGGTTTTTTTCCTAAATTCCCTGTTTTTCCAGCAGTTCCAGAGCCCTTAAAACAGAGCAAAAGGTCTCATTTGCATGTTGAGAAGTATTAATCATGTAACTTAGAACACAATTAATGAACAAACCCATTTGAGACCCTAAATCCCCTTTTTCTTTCCAGGGAAAGCACTGTTTCACTTGACAAGAGCATTTGTATTAGGAATACCTGGGACAAAATAAGAACCTTAAAATGTATAGCTTTTACTCTTAAGAGAAGAAAAGAGCAAAGTATGTGGACTGTAAACCCCAGAGGGCTCAGGTATGGACCTGTGGTGTGGGCGTATCATACACCTGGGAAAATCCAATGGAAGGCTCCATGTCAGGAGGACTACTCCCCACACACTCAGCTGGTACTTTGTTTTCAAATGGTTATTAGGAAATATTTCACATACAAGAAGTTCAGAAACTCTAAGACATACCCATGAGCCTACCACCCATATTCAATACATTAAAATGTTGTGTTTTTCTACATTTGCTCCAGGTTTCCTTTTTAAAGAACTAAAATGGCACAGGGATGATGGAATCCTCCCTTTCCCCATTGCTGTTGGCAATGAGGGGGCTGCTGTCCTACATAGCCTTTCCTCCCAATTTCACACTGTCTGAACGCTGACACTTCTCTATCTGTGGTGGAAGCACGATCCACAGAAGCAGGCCATACTTCTTCCCACTATGTGTTCCAGAAGCACTTGAGGTGAAGTCCTCTCATGGATGCTCATGGACTTAAATTAATGACTACAACTACACACTATCAATCTTTACTGCTATTTGGGGGGGCTGCATATTAAATAAAGAAATGACAATGAAACAAGATTCCGAGTGAGCAGTTACTTCTCCCATACAGGCTGATAATACACTCTCTATATTCTGTAACAAGAAAGAAATTAGCAATACCCAACCACAGAGTTCAAGGAGCTCCAATGTGCTGCTTCTGAGAAATACACCCAGTATCCTAGGTTGGGGTACACTCAGGAGGCCAGATTCTGTCCTGGCTGCATGTGTTTAAATGTGTTCCCAGGCCATATGTCCCAGAAGGATCTTCAGGACAGGACAACCCTTCCCCAGGCCAGTTTAAAGTTATGTCTGGCTTTTAAGTTTGGTAAGATGCTTTGCTTGAACACTGAACTCTGTAACTAAGTAGGACAGAAGAGCTAACTTTTTAGTCCCTCCCCCCATTACTGAACAATATAGCTAAACATTTGTCTAAAATCTTTAGTACTGCCACTTCTTCTGTAGCTAATAGTTTATGAATATGGTTAAGAAAACATAACAGGTTACCTTTAAAAAAGAGTTGCTTTTTTAAAAAATTTACTGATTTCATAAGGTTTTGTGAATAGAAAACTAATTTATTAAAATAAAATACAAGTAATGGCTTTTGTATATTTTTCAGTGTTGATGCAGATTATTTTTATTATAATGTTATTTAAATATGCATAACTCCTATGTAAATAGAACTTGGGTAAAGTCTAAATAAAGTTAATAAAGTCAAATTCAAATACAAGCCAAAATTGTTTTTGTATTTTAACTTATCCAAAAAGTAATGTCACTTTAAGAGTTTTCATGGATAATAATGGAAATCAAATTTAGTTTTTAGCATTTCCCCCAGCCCTCTGAAATATCATCTGGATGATTCTTATTGGAACCAATTTGCTAGCCTAAAGAAGGGTTCAATTCTCCCTCTCTGGTCTATGGGGTTCAACAGGCCAGCTGTCTTACAGGGGAAAATTATTTTCTTCCAGACTCTGCCAAATTTTCTAAGGGTGGGCAACTAATACAAATCCATCCACAGGAATTTCAGCAAGCTGCTCTCAGGACTACAGCAAGAAAAACAAAAAACAACAATAATGACACCCTTTAAAAAAAAAAAGAAAAAACACACCAAACCCAATCACATAAAACTACTCCTAGCAACTGCAGGGAAGGTGAGAAGGCCAATGGCAAAACTACTGCATCAAGTCAGCTGCCCACAGGGCCTCTGGGAGTGCAGGGGCCTTCAGAAAAGCCCACAGACACTCTCTGGCACCTGAATGAGAGAGAGCAAGAGCTTTGTCCACTCACTTACACCCAAGAACGCAGCCTCTGAAAGTTCCCTGCCCGCCTTTCCTCTCAGTGCCTAGAAGTAGGAGAGAAAAAGAACTGTGCCCTGACAGCATGGGGTGCGGGGAGGGGAGAGGTAGCACCAGCCTGTTCCTCTTGGTATACTTATGTGGATCTGTTAAATTACTACATTTATATCCTGACACTCTCCACTGACTTGAACTTGGCCACTATGACAGGTTCCTGTACTCTGTGGTATCCCTCTTCATTAAACCTGTACTAAACTTTGATGACACATTTTATGCAATCAATTTTTTACAGTTCCATTTAACAACAATGACAGCCATTTCCAATTTATAAGGATAATAGTATTCCAAGAGAGTACCAACCTCTTAGATATTGTATTTCCCTACTATATAGACAAAAAACATAATTTTAAGAAACTTTCTACTGCCCTAATATTCAAGGGCCAAGTATCACCAGAATACTTGTTTACATGGTCAAAATAATGCTGTGGGGTATCTAAAAATTAATGACCATGAAGAACAAATCAAAAAAGTTTACTCCAATGTCAATTACACACAGGAATAGAGGTTAATACTGAGCATTATAACCCACTGATGCTGACCAACCCCCTCGCTGCAGCCTCCACTTAGCCCCTGGAGTTTTGCTTGTGGGAAACCAATGTTTACTCCACAGCACCAAATGGAAAGGTCAGAGAGCTGCAGGTCACACTGTAGTTACTGTCACGTTCTAGAGTTTAGTAAAACCCAAAAGAATGTTCCAGTGTCAAACATCATGACTCCCGCAAAGAGAACCACCACACAGAAAGGGAGAGGAAACAGTTAATGTGGGTTTACCTCTGAATCTTTAAGCCTCACATAGTTAGAAGGGAAGACTCCGGACTTGTCGCCCACTGTTCCCGTCCACCAGTCACCATCTTTCTTGGTAACCAAAATCACATCCCCTTGCTGAAAGGTTAAATCTCCTTGCTCAGAACTCTCGTAAGTGTACATGGCAATAAATTCTGGTGGGGAGAAATATTGAGATACGGAGAGAGCTTGATTGTTTAAAGAAATCCCAGACAGCTTTGCAAAAGCAAATTATGAATCAGGAAATTAGGATAAGATTCATTCAAGAGAAAGGCTAATCACAGATAAAAATACAGAGCTGCAGAATACCCCTGGGCTCCAAATTCCCCAACTGCACACAAGAATTCAGTAACTGCAGACAAGGAGACAATTCCTGTGAAGACCCAGCCACAGGAACAAAGAACCAACTGCATGTCTACAAACACTGAATACCAAAAATCATCTAGGACTTAGGGTCATCATTTTTTTTTTTTTTAATGAAATGTTTTTTACATCCAATTTCAACTAACATTTACTGAGTATCTACAGGGTCAGATGCACTTACATGCAGGCTTCTGGGGTGCAAATATCTGTATTTCTGTTTTGAGAGTACTAATTCACAATTTTAGAAATTTTTAGAGTATATCCTTTATGTAAATTAAATAAGACACACTTTTCCTTATGTCCTATTGTACCATACACAAAGATGGCAGGAAACTTTTAGACTATAAAATAAAAAAATACACATTACTTAGTTAAAAATGGGCATCTACTTGTCTTCCAAGTGCATACACAGGTAGAGTGAACTGGTGATAAGTGTGATGTCTACTCAACCCTGGAAAATAACTATTAAGTCTCTCCCAAAAAATTAAATGAAAACTCTTTTTTACTTTTATTACATTACATTCTAAATTACATTATAATGTAATTTAGTCTTAAAAATAAAAAAATAATATTCTTTAGTGTCTTGAATTGAAGGGTGTGCATTCCAAAAGCAATTTTTATCTTTTAATTATAAAGAGAACCCTGCATTGCTTTTATTGATTCTACTAAGACTTAGAACCAAGTCTTCTCTCAGACAGACTAGATACAAAATCCTAGATTAGCAGAAAAGATTTTACAGAAAGATACATATATTTCTTACTTTCACTTTTTCTTTATCTTATTCCAGCCCTTTGTATATTTTTTTAAAAGCAGAAACATTTACCCCAGAACATTTTTATAACAGATGATGTATGTTTCTCAAGAGAGTACCAGATGATATTTCTTAAATGCAGAGTTAATGATTAATAGGCAGAAATTTAGTATGGAAACCTCTATTGGTCAATTAAAATAGCCTCTGAGGGAGGGACTAACGAAAACTAAAACACACACAAAAATCAAAACCCCTTAACACTGTGCTAACAGGAGTGGGCACCCCCTGAGAGTGCCAACAGGGGCCTCCTTCGGCTTTGAGGGTGACCTGAGCACTGTGCAGAGGCTAGGGGGTGACTCCTGGGGAGAGTGCTGAAACCCACAGCAGACACAGGGTCATCCAAACGTCCCTGGAAGACAGAGGACTCTTGTCTTAGCCCTACAGTGCTGGTAACACAAATCTCCACAGTTAAAAAGAAAAAACTCATTTCCCACACAAGCAAATTATCGTTTGCACGCTTTAATAAGGGCATTCTCTTGTCACTGATACACTCATTTTTCTGATTTCTCAATGTTCTCACTTTTCCCCTGTCATCTGGTCTCTGTTACCGTTCTTTAGTTCCTATTGTTGACCCCTTAATAGGATCCTGGGCAATCCATACTTTCCAGTGAATCCTCACCTAAAGTCACTATCTTTAAAATACACCAGAATTTTGAAGTAACTTTCAAAATGTTTAGAAAACTTCAGAAACATGACCTCTAGCTAAGCTTAATACTACAGTTCAAAATGAAAAGGAGGCTAGAGAGATAGAGGCTTCGGGTGCCCTGTGACACTGCTGCACAATGACAGTGAGCCCTGGGGACACTGTGGTGGATGCTTAGAGGGTGAGGTCCTCCTCAGTCACTCCCTTTCGTGAGACATCATCTAACAAGGGAACAGGCCAGTCCCAAGCTACTATTTTAAGAGCTACTCAAATATATAATCTATTTATCTGGTTTATTTACAGTTTACTTTAAATCAGAAGATATTCAGTGCAGCATTAACAGGGAGCTCATTAATATCCATCCATACCTTTTCTCAGAATTTCTAATGCTCTCCCACAAACCCTCCCTTCACAATGTCTGCAATCTTTCCTAATATTTCTAATCTTATTGATTTCAAACTAAGATCAGAATTTACCTCTATTCTCTTGCTTGACTTTAAGAAAAAGTGTAGTTCACTTGGTGAACTATTTAGCAAGGACTCAGGTGTTGAAGCTTCTGTACATGTCTGAAGACATGCATTCCTCTACATCTATTATCAGATGAGGAGGCTCACTGCCGTGAGTGGCTCTGGCAGCAATCAAGAAATGAAGCAAAAAGGGAATAAAAGCAGCATATGTTTGTTGAGTTTTTTTCTAAAAGCTTTATATTTTTTACTGCACAACCCTTGTAATAACTTCCTACCTCAAGGGATGGTTATTAGGTGTTATTATGCATGCTTCACAGATGAAGAAGCTAGGGTGTGACAGAAATCATAGGGTTACAACCTGGCAGAGCCAGGATACAAACTCCACATGCAGTGAGACCTGACCGGATGCAGCACACTGAAGTTTTTTTGGGGAGGGGTTAACATTTCTTTTTCACTATGCTGATTACCAATATTGCTTTTTTCTTTTTTTACATTTTCTGCTTAAATGTGCATTTTTGCCTTCTTCTAATAGTGGATTAAAAAAAGGCATTAAGATAATGAAAATGTATAAAGAGAACTATGCTAGTAATTGTTTTCATACTAGTAACAAAAACTGGGTACCATAAAATCCTAGATATTTCTTTTTTTTATTTTTTGGTAATGATGAGGTTTTACAGTTATACCTATAAATTTTTTTAAAAATTACTTTTGAAATTCCTATTGATAAAGAAATGCTGGGGGACTGGGGGGTATAAATCAGTGGTAGAGTACTTGTCCAGCATGCACAAGGCCCTTGGTTCAATCCCCAGCACCACCAAAAAATAAAAAGAAGAACTGAGGAAGAAACGCTGTTACAGTGACTCTGAACTACTATCAAACCTTAATGTTTGCTGTCTCCATCAAAACAATTATGTTGATAACTGTATTTTTCATTAGGTAAAGTTTCTAGGAATGCAACAATCATATTACAGCAAACTAATCATATAATTTATTCCAGGAACCCACTGAAAAATACTGCATAATTGGTAAGTTATGACATCTGATAACTGCAAAACCTGCTCGGACTTCTAAATGGGAAACTTAACTCAGGTAGCACTTTTCAATTAGTTCTACAATGACTGCACTGAATGTAAAAAACATGATTTTTACCAGCAGGGTCTGAATTACATAAGTTATTTTTCATTTTTTAAAAATTTAATACTTCCTACTAGTGACTGGCATGTATATATAATATCTAGAATTATGTCATGAAACAGAGACTGGAAAAAAGGCAATTAATCATTTGCGTTACAAATACTCAAAATGAAATTTTTAGGCCTAAATAATCTCGTTTGGTTATTTACTTAGAACATGGAAACTGAGCTTCTGTTTTGGCTGAAGAGGTTCCTATGACACTCATATAATTGTGAAAGCTTTACTGGACTCTGCAGTATTTTAAGGCAAAATACTCGTATGTAGATGAGACTAGACTACATTAGGAGATTTAGCTACAGGGGTGCTCAGAGAACTTGATCCTTGGCAAACTGGCTTGTGAACTTGGTGAATGGGCTTCTTTCAAAAGTCAAAAGGCTCATGGTCAAATTAGAAAATTTAGGTTTTTTGTTCTGTTTTTGCAGTACTGGGGACTGAACCCAGGGCTTCGCATATGCTAAACAAGCACTCAACCACTGATGAGCTGAATCCCCAGCTCCACAATTCAGTTTTTGATGATCAACATCTCCAACAGTATTTTGACAGCCTCCATAATCAGTACTCTGATTTTGTAAAGAGCTGAACCTTCATTTCACCTCAGTTTAACAGAGCGATCAATTAATGCAGACTATTTAAAGATGAAACCCATCTCATTTCACATTTACTGTCTGTAGTGGTACCAGGTTCGACTCTCCTAAATAACCTAACTTGATCTGCTCCTCACCTTCTCCTGAAACAGCTGGTTTAGCAGCAGGTGAAGCTACTCTCTTCAGACTAGCAGGACTCTCTGAAGAACCAGAATCCATGCTGAAAGAAGGGAAGAAAAGAGTATTTTTAATTCCGATCTCAAGAGAAAGCAGTACAGCTGACACTGATTTTTCTCCTTTAGAACTCTGAACAATCCACGGCTGAAGCAGCTGTACTTAGCTAAATTACACGCTCCAGGGGTGCTAGGCCACAGGGCTCTGCGCTCAGATCCTGCTCTGCTGCACATGTGCCCTCTATATTGGTTTACTCCAAAGCATGACTGGCAGGGGCTCATGGGATAATTCTGTTATTTTTATCTTCTTAAAGCTCATAATTTGTTTTGAACACCTATACAGTTAGAATAATTAAGCAATAGCCTTGCAGATTCCACGTTCTTAGCAGATGCTAATGAAAATAATTCATTCTTCCAATTATTTCCCCAAATGCTCTGGGCTTTCTAAGCAATCACATGTATCTGGCACAGTACTGATTATGAAGTCACTCTCCAACCACTTGCGTGACTATTCCAGGTCTCAGAGCAGAATTTAAAAAATTATATATATACATATATATATATATATATATATATATATATATATATATATTTGTAGATGGACATAATACTTTTATTTTTTTAATTTATTTTTTATGTGGTGCTGAGGATCGAACCTCGTGCCTCACACGTGCGAGGCAAGCGCTCTATCACTGAGCCACAACCCCAACCCTTGAATTCTTTTTTTGCATAAATTCAAGGAAAACCAGGATGTATAGGCTTCCATGAGGGAAAAAAAAGACCACCTATCTGTAAGAGGCTCCCTTTTTATATTCCATATACTCTTTTGTAATTAAAAGATCCAGAAGACAAAATAATCCTGCAATTCCCATCCATGAATCCTAACTAAAGCAAACAATTTTTAATGCCTAATATATATTTTTTCATCAAATAGAAGCAGATAAACACAAAATACCTTGTAGATTTCCTTATGGGCCCTGAAATGAGTTTCACGTAAGACTTGGGGAACCAACCCTTCTGACCTTGAACTTCTCCAAACCACCACATGTCTTGCTGTTCCAGGACGGTGATGACATCATTTTTGTTAAAATTTAAATGGTTGTCTTTTTTGGCTCTCCAAGGATACAGGGCTTGCGCTTGTAGCCCCTCCACCTTTTCACCCTTGTGTAGAACAACATAAAGGACCTCTCATTACATTGTGGCTTGTCATCAGTCAAGGCATGACCCTGGGGCCTCCTCTGTCATAGGCACACACGAGCACACACACAAACAGATGGCACCCTGTATCAGCACAGCATGAGTGGTGGACACCTCACTGTTTCTCAGTAATCATTTATTTCCAAAAGTAGAAGCAAAAACTTGCTGGCCCATTCACAGAGCCATCGTCTGGCAATCTAGAACTTTCTTCTTATTTTTATCTGATATGGTATCTTGCTAAGTTGCCCATGCTCCCCTTGAACTTGGGATCCTCCTGTCTCAGTAGCTGGGATTACAGGTGTGCTCCGATATGCTAGGCTTTAGAACTCTCTACTTAGTAAACCAGGAGGGATGGTTCTCCTGTGACACTTGACTATGTGCCTTCTATATTTTGGTCCTATTTTTCTCTCAAGTTGCCCTGGGCACCTGTCCATTTCCAATATGATTTGGAGTTCTACTAGAGGATTAATGCTGGAACAGAAGTTTGATGAGATTTCATGACATTATTAACTGTATGGAAATGGGGGAAAATGCTGTGCACTGGATTATGCTTGTTTTAGTTCCATTTTAGAGTAACAGGATTTTGTTAGCATAAATTCATTGTAATTACCATTTATTGTCCATCTATATGCAAGGCACTATGGGATTACAAAGAAAAATAATAAAAAACCATCTCTCTGCCTCCCCCAAATAATTTAAGATAAAGTAGTTTATTAACCATAAAGCACTGTAAAAAATGGATAATGTGATATGATTAGCAAGGAACTCACAGTTAATAGGGAAGAAAGAGATAAAAATGACTAAGTATACTCCCTGGCAGGATGAAATACGCTACAAAGAAGTTCCATCTAGTCACTGTGGGAACAGAGAGAAAAGAGGGATGAAGTCTGCCCAAGGGTATCAGGGACAATTTCACAGAGGTGGAGGTATTTGAGCTGGGCCTTGAAGGATGAGAAGGATTTTGGTAGCTAGGGCTGTGGAGGAAGGGCTCTCCAGGCCAAGGGCACAGCACAGGCAAAGGCCTTGAGGTGGCACACTGCATACACTGCAAAGGGTCCCGGAAGAGGAGTGCAATCCAGGGCTCTGTGTAGCCTGGGCTCACGGAGGAGTGTAGGAGGAGATGAGGCTGGAAAGGCAGGTGAGGCACTTATTATCTTCTTCAAAAATAGAACATAAAACCATTATGGTGTCTTAAAACATTTACTAACAAACAGGACAACACCAACTTCCAATCTTCTATGTAAATGGATAGAAACAAAGGAATATACTCAAGGAGAGTTAATTCAGAACCAATTCATGTTTTTGCCTTTGGAAGTTATTTTTATTTTTGCATTGAGATATGATTGTGAGGGCTGGGGATGCAGCTCAGTGGTAGAGCCCTTGCCTAGAATGCACAAGGCCCTGGGTTCCATCCCCAGCACCAATACCCTATAACATTGCCATATATATATTTTTTTCCATTTCTGCTCTCAAAACTAAGGTTCCTTTGGATTCCAAACACTCTAGGAACACATATTCTTTACCTTCCATTCTTGCTCTCTGCAGTGACCCTTCTGCCTCAATGTCTCTAATCCACAGCCCTTCTGCCCTGTCAAATCCTTAGCCATTTCCATTGATTTTTCTACCAGGACTGGATCCCAGGGCAAGTCATTTCTCCTGTGTCCTCATAATACTTCAGAATTTCTCCCCTGAGAAGTTTCCCCTGTGCTTGTCTTCTGGACCTTTTCACATGGATACCCAGTGAGCCCAGCCCCAGTAACTGGGACCCTGCCACTTATTAATTCTGGCAAATGTTTTAATTTTTTAAAGCCTCAGTTTCTACATTTATACCACAGAGATGATACTCTCTTTAGAAGGTTGTTAAGAAAGTTCAGTAAGATCTATGCACAGTATTACTGTAATAGTACTAATAGTCACAGCAGGTTTTAGTACAGTTCTTATTCCTACTCTCAAAACTGTGTAGTACTGCTAGAAAAAGCTGAAGCTCTGTGCAATGATCAAGATTCAGGACAAATTCAACCAGCAAGTTCTTTTATTATTATCATTTTTAGTTTTACCTGGGCAATTCTTTATTCTTTTTTTTTTTTTTTTTGTCAAACTCCTAACCATCTACAGCCTGTAAGCCCTCAGGGCTCCCTCCTCATGAGATGGATGCCATGCGTCTGACCTGAGCTTCCTTCTCCACTATCTTTCCCAATCTCTCTTCATCCTCCTCACCCAGGAGAAAATGAACCCTGTCTTCTTTTTTGTGCATTTAATGCTGGATTCACCTGGCACCAAGCCGACTGACACTTGACTTTTCAATTCCTTTTTCCACTGATGACAGCTGGCTACCTTTCCAATGCCCTCCCTGCATTCTGTACTTCCTCTACTTGTCACAGAGCTGCCTGCTCCCTCACCACTCGTTTCCTCTTTACCCCCTGGTTTGTCTTCCTCTTCCCTAAGTCAGGGGGATGTTCAGTCAGCACCCAGAGTGGTCTCTTCTGTGCCCTGATCACAGCCATCACCTCCACCTGCTTAAAACAAGTTCCTCCTCCCTGTGGTTTCCCACTGTCACCCACACCACCCCCTGCTCCCGCACCCCTCCTCTGTCACTATCACCATTATCAAGCACAGGACATGTGTCAGATTCTGAGTTGGGTGAGATGGAAAGGAAAGTGACACTATCTGTTCAGAACTCTTTCCCTTCTTTCAGGCCACTTAACACACACATTCTTGGGCACTTTCTATTTCCCCTTATTCTCGAACCTCATACCATTTCCTTAGTTCTGATTATATGATTATATGACAATATATATATTTGTCCTCACAGTACTTCAGAATCTCTCCCCTGAGAAGTTTCCCCTGTGCTTGTCTTCTGAATCTTTTCACATGGATATATATATATAATCTGATCTTTACTCCACCCACCAGATCTATGTTCCCCTGGCCTGCTAGACATGACCACCTGGATGTCTTGTTTTCACTAATACCATAACATATCTAAAACTCAACTACTCCCTCCAACTACAAATTGATTTCTTCCTGTCCTCCTCATTTTCCATGAAGGTGGATCTTCTCCACCCAGGGCCCCTTTCCTGCTGGCCCTCCAGGTGTGTGACTCTATCCTTGTGGTTCCCCTCTGCAATCTCTTGCATGCTCTCTTCTCTCTCTACTGGTTCCTCCCAACTTGGTAAATGTGAACGCAGCTGAGTCTAGGCCTCCCTCGCTCACACCTGGGTGCGCCTAACAGGTGTTACTGCCCACTGGTCCTCTGTTCTAATGTCCCTACACCTACCTCTCCAATGAATCTGCCCAGTGCTTGCCTTTGACCTGGGTGTTTCCAGAACAGAAACTATCTATGACCCGCCCTGGTGCCTCCCAGAAGGGCATCTGTTGTTTGGTTTGATTTGATTATTTATAGAAATTTCATTCCTTTAATTCCATTCTGTTATTATATTGAGCAAAAGAAATAGACTCAGAATAAATACCTTTAACCTTTCAGAAATTATTCTTTCTTAACAGGGCACTTCAGAGCTTCCCAATATTCTATCCTGTAACCAGTCTCTTTGCCAATAAATAGCCAGCAGTTTAGCCAAATGGATTAACTCATGATTTTCCTTACACACATTCTGATTCTTTGCCTTAAAGCCTCTCCTTTCAGCATTTCCTGTATGATATGCCTTTTCCTTTGTTTTTAGTAAGCTAGCTCTTACCCATTGGTCAAGATGCAACTCAAATGTCATAAATGAAACCTCTCTGATTAACCCAGGCAGAAGTTTACTTGCACTGAACTCCGATTAGTCACAGCATATCTTGGCCTCCTGAACCTGACCCAGCCAGCCAAGAGAGCCCCACAAAGGAAGCTTAATTCTAGGTGACGTCGCCAGCAAGCATCTGCTCATATCTGTACTGCTTAGTCTTCACACCCTCACTGGTTGCCCTTACCTGTCCCAGTACAGGAGATGGGGAGGAGCCAGTGGCCGTGGCTGGAGTAAAGGCTGATCTCTGCCTTAACTGGCCAGCACTGGGTACAGTAAGAGAAGGCTGGGCTGCCCAAGCATCCCAGTTATCCGTTTCTGGTTTCTCGTTTGTGCTGGTGGGCCACCTGGAAGGAAGAGCACAACCCATAAATAGTAAGCACTTTCTAATGCACCAGCTTCCCACCCAGAGTGAAATGTAAAAACAAAATATAAAAGAAAAAAATGGCACCCTCTGAGCCCATACACCACAAATTCTGTACTTTTTCTTTTTTTGTGGTAGTGGTGATTGAATCCAGGGCCTCCCACATGCCAAACAAGTGTTCTATTACACATTTCCACCCACAATCCAGTATATTTATGTGGCCTTTGAAAGTTAAGAACAAGGACAGGAAAGAATGCTGGGCACAGGTGTGAGTGAGTCTGTGTTTCACACACTAGCAATGACCCTCAGGCAAATTATTCTATTTTCTCTGAATCTTGATTTCCTCATTGGAACAATACCCTGCCACTCTGGGTTCATTTTGAGGGTTACCTGAAGCATTAGGGAAATACTCTGAATAATAATGACAATCATTACTATTTATAATAACAATAGATGAGATGAAAGAAATCTAGTGCCACATATGAAAACACATCAGCCTGGCAGCCAGAGCTTCCCTGTCCCATCAATTTCATAGGACACACCTGGCTATATGCGTCCACACCACAGTATTTGCACGAGGCATCCTGAGAGTAGCCAGTTGTCTTGGATCTTGGGACAGTTCTAATTTTGTGATTTTATAATTTTAGATAAACACATCTGTGTGAATGCACATCTAAATGGAATTTACGGTTTTCATCTTTATAAAACAAATTTGAAAGTCAGAATAATTTCTTGATTTTTTGGTTTGGAAAACAAGACACTGGTAATCATAGCAGGAAACTCACACGCCACATATTTAACAAGGAAGACAGTCACACTGATTTGATCCACAGCAAAAACAAATCCTGGAAAGCATGGTATTAGTCTTCTATTTTAACCAAAGCTTTAGTTTATACACTCTGAACTTTTCCAACAAGATCAAAAGAAAAAGGGAGAGTTTAAACTTAGAAGTTATGCCAAGGGAAGGCTATTGTTTTAAAGCAGAGATTACATGTGGAGGCACCTTTAGATGCAAAAATAAGTTTGAAAAACTTGCTATTCCTTACATCCTTTCCTTCACTTCCTCCTGCACTTGGCCATTATTCTATTTCTGTTTGCTCCATTTGATATTTCCAGAAAAATACCTTGACTCCTTGCCTTCAATGTATTTCTACCAAAAGATGATTAGACTTAAAAAGACATTTCAAACACTTCTCACTCAAATCACTGTTACTGGCATGCCAGTATAAAACATTTTTTGACAACTGCACATCTAGGTCACAGCCCTGTAAATGGAGGTCTGGACAGTGGTTTCATCCATCTTTCAAACCTCTGCCTACACACTCTGTGCTTAATGTCATTTTCTGATGACCAAAGGCATGCACCTTTTCACGCCACTACACATCTGTACAAGACTAATGAAAGCAGAAAGCTCTGGAGGAAGCAGCTTTTTATCCTATTCAAAGCCACATGACTGAATTCAATTCTGTTTCTGCCCAGCAAAAAAGTGCTATTTGCCTGCATGCGGGAAATGACTGAATATTTGCTGACTGACATGAGTGTCAACACAGATTATTAGGAAGCTATATTTCTCCATTTTTTTGCTAAGAATGAAAATACAGATAAATTACTGAACAGAACATGATAATTGGCTTTGTTTTGTATGAGGGTAAATCATCATTGGGCAATAGTATCATTCATTTCAGTAAAGAGACAGTTACCCCTACCTTGCTAGCAGACCAGCCAGAGAAGGGAGTCACGCAAATGAGCCAGCTCCCTTACCAAGAGGGATAACTTGGGACTATAAAAACACCTAGGGGAAAGAAAGGTTACTAAATTGAGATTTCAAAAACTGAAACTTACGTAGAGCTGAAGTCAGCCCAGTTGTTGGGGGTTGTGGAGGGCTCAGAAGAGGTCACTGCCAAAGGAGCGGGGGTCTCACGCAGAGCCAGTTTGGGGGCAGGGGCAGATGTTGGATCAGTCACTGGTTTGGCTGGAGCAGGAATCTCATTTTCTGGAATCTTCTCTGCATAGTTTGCAGGGAACCATCCTGTTTTTCCTTTTAATTCTCCTCCAAGCCATCCGGGTTCTCCAGTTTGGCTTTCATCCACCTACAGGGAAGTCACAACATTTAATTTAAATAGAACTAAATCAACCCTTGAATATAACACACACCTCACCACAGCCCCAAGTGTTGGCCCTGACTGACACATAGCATTAGAAATTTCTTTATCCTATTCTAAATGTCTGGAAAAGTGGCTCTTCCTCTTTGTACTTTTTAAAAAGCTTCTGTCCTTTTTCTCATAATGGCTGATCCGATAAAGTGCTTGAAGTCCTTAGGCACATAGCTTAAACTCTCAGAGCTATTTTGAATTGGGAAGTATCTCGACAGGCTTCTTCACTCAGGAAGTCAAGTCATTATTAAAAACAACTTGACTTATTTACTATTTAAAGTCAAAAGCAAAGGCTACAATCAATATAAATTTAGTGTTCTAAAACCCTTCAATAAGTAGTATTTACTAGCATACAGACAAGGGTAAAAAACACAGCCTTAGCTGCTTTCCCTGAAAGGCAAAGCTGAGTGTTGTGTTTGGCCATTTAAAAGCCCCACAGACACATGGTGAGAAAATGAGGTAAGTGATTATTTGCAGCCACAATCAATTTTATTAAGGCCCTATAATTCTTTGTACACTATGCAGAGAAGATTCCCTGTAATTCTTCAATAATCACAAAAGTGTGTGTGAGAATATAGAATTCTCCTGTGGAAAAATTTCAGGGCCTCTATATTATACCAAATACTTTTTTAAAATATTTATTTTGTAGTTATAGATGATCACAATACCTTTATTTTTATTTTTTTATGTGGTGCTGAGGATCGAACCCGGTGCCTCTGAGCCATGACCCCAGCCCCTACACCAAGTACTGCTTGTATTTTATCTTTGTTCTGATTGAAAAGATCATTCAAAATGGCCCAAATGATTCTACTTATCTTTATAAGTTGCCCCCACAATTTCATGAGCAACAGAATGACTCTGGGGGATAAGTACTTACTGTTACAGAAATGTTTTCATCACTTTAAGTCAAATAAGGGCCTATAGAAGACTTTTGATTTTTATTCCTTCATATATTATCTATGGTTGAAAATACTGAACACTTTATTGGAATGTAAATGTTGCTTTCTAGAAATTTCAGAAAATGAATGGGCAGGTTCTAAACAATAATAATTTGATAAAGTTACCAGTTGTCTAATCCATTCAAGTATTCAGTAAAACACAAGCCAAACATCTGCCTGTACTCAGTGCACAGTGAGCAACAGGATGTAACTATTATTAGCTTATTAGAATAAGCACATGCTTGGGGCAGGGTTGAAGAAAGTGGAATACAAGGCTTAGTACTTAATTCTACTTATCTGCAAGATATTAGCAAGCAGGGAATGCCTTCTTGCTATATCACTTTGGGGAACCTTTATAGTCTTAGATAAAAATCAAGGTAAGTGATTATTTGCTTCTTTTTTTATGTAAACTTCTTTTTTTTATACCTTTATTCCATTCATTTATTTTTATGTGGTGCTGAGGATCGAATGCAGGATCCCGAGCATGCTAGGCGAGAACTCTACAGCTGAACCACAATCCCAGCCCCTAAAAATCAACTTTTAAAGCTAAAAATTCTCCAAACAACCAAAAAGGAGTTTCCTCAGATCAAGTGCAGTAATTCCAAAGGCTCTAATTTTGCTTTACACTCTGTCACTCTTGATCACACTTCCACAGATGTGAACACATTAGCCCATATTCATTCAACTCCTTTGATGATTTGTTCTCTTTCTGGGCAGCCCCAATTGTTTCTCTAGATGACAACTTAAGATAAATATCTTTTCTACTTAGACCTTCGTTTTGTGCTCAACTCAGATGGCTAGAAGGCTTTCCTTCCTGGTTGATATTTACTGGTGGTATTATGACATACTGCTAATGGCAGCTGCTCTGTACTGGAAACACAACTGCTTCTAAGTGCATCAAGGCCTCCCCCACTTCTTAGTTGGTTCATCAGCCAAGCTCAGCCCCATTTTATGACCTAAGGTGATGTCAACAGAAATGAGCTAAGAACTGGAGTCAAATACCTCAAGACTGCAAAATGTAAGGCTGGAAAACAGGGCTCTACAATTCAACACTTCCTGATTTAAATACTAGTTCTACAATTAACTGGATGACTTTGAGCAAGTTTATTCACTGGGTGCTCAGTTTCTCAATAAAGTGGAGACAATAGCAGTACCTGTTTTACTTGACATCTGATAAATATTTACAACTCTGCTTGGCATATTTTAGTGTTAAATGAATTAATACTAAATGTACATCTTAGTGTTTAATAATAGATTATTTTGAAGCCATTTCTCCTGTTGTCCAGCTCTGCCCTTGAGCTGTGGTTTCCTTTCCAGGGCGTTTGTCCAGTTCTAAAAGCTTAGTATCTACTTAGCTCACTCTAAGCAATCTGTTTGTCTCTACATGGAGTTCTCTGCTCTTCAGGCCTGTCTGGGATCCTGGCATCTCTGGGTTTAACATCTTGCCATGGTCTTCTCCTAGTCAAATTCAGCTGTTTTACCTAGTTATGTCTTATGACTGACTGACTTGTCATCCACTTGAGACCCTGGTATACAGGATATATCTGGTCTTGTTAGGAGATTTTTGAGTGGACATCTGTTACTGGATCTGAAGCCCAGAGGAAATGTTCCATCCTGGCTAGGGGATCTGGCCAAGCATGTCCCTAGACAGAAGGAATGCTGCACTCCTGTATACACTCAGGAGTGGCAGGGAGGGGCTGCTGCAGACTCTTAGTTGTACAAATAACAGCTTCTCCCATCCCTAAGGTCAGTCATGAAATCAGTATGTATCTTGCTTTTAGCTAAAGAAATTCACTGATCTCAACAATGACCCAAACAATAGCCTCAATTAGTTTGATTTATTCTCACTGGGATCCATTCATTGTAATGATTACATTTTAATTTCAAGGAGTTAAAAATGTACTCTTGGGGATGTGGCTCAAGCGGTAGTGGGCGCCTTGTATGCGCAGGGCGCTGGGTTCATCCTCAGCACCACATAAAATAAAATAAAGATCTTGTGTCCACCGAAAACTGAAAAATAAATATTAAAAAATTCTCTCTTCTCTCTCTCTTTAAAAAAAATGTACTCTTAATACCTAAATTAAATTAACCACTTAGAAAAAGTATGAAGGTCAACATATAAAAAATGAGAAGTATGTCTTTCTGGATTTAGGAAACTACCCAAAATGCTAATTGAATTTTAGGAAAACACAAGATAATGATCGCCCAAAAGGCTAAGCCCACAAACTTCTCTGTAACATGGTGCTCTAATGTGGACTTTTACATAAAGTATGCTAATCAACTGGTGGCTATAAGAAAAATTTTATTATTAAAAATATAACTTTATTTAAGCAGACCTATTCCAACAACCCAAAGTATTTCAGGGTAATTCTAGTAAAACATCATTGAAGTGAAGTACAAAACTCTGACATCGCTTACCTTTTGGGGATCATGTTACAGAGCTAGTCTACAAAATGTTAGTAATTACACATTGTATATCAGGGGTAACTGATCCTATAGTCAAATGTCCATAGCAGCTATTTCAGATACAAGTCCATGGGCAAAAGGCTGATAATATCACGCCTCTTCTCTCAATGATTACATGCTCAATGGCTACAATTTTCATTAGGTAGAATCCCTAAGCCCTCCAACCTTGTCATAAAGGAGGTGCTACAGTGAATCTTGAATAATCATAAAGGTTCATACTGTAAAGCTTGTTGGCCAGGATGGCACAATTGGGAGATGGCAGAGCCTTTAGCAGGTGAGGGAGGCCTGGGGGGAGGTCTGCAGGTCACTGGGATATGCCTTTAAAGGAGACTGTGGGACCTTCCTCTCTTTTGCTTCTGGTCACGAGGTGAGTGGTTTTGGTTTACCACACTCTTACCATGACATACTTCCTTCCCCAGAGCAATGGGGCCAGTTAGACTGAAAACTCAAAGACTATGAATCAAAATTAATCTTTTCTTTTTATAAGCTAATTATCTCAGGCATATGTTACAATAATGGAAAGCTGAATGACACAGGAGTTCCTTTTTCCTTCACAGAGCAGGACAGTCAGGGATAGCAAACAGGTTTAAACTGTACTGAATCAGACCAGACGGCTGTGGCTGCCTGTCCTGTGTTGACGAACACAAGGGAAAGCACATTATATAGATTTGCTGATTTTTAAGTAAAAGGTTTTCCCCAAAATTCTAAGATGAAGATATTAAAATTCTTTTCTAAAGCTCTAACCTGGAAGTCAGCAAACTTTTTCTCTGGTGCAATGACTTGAGTCCGCTGTTGTAGCACAAAAGCTGATGTAGCAACATGTGACTGACTGTATGAGCCTGGCTGTGTTCCAATAAAACTTTTATCACAACACAGGCACTAAATCCATGACTGTAATCCTATGTGCACACTGGTCCCTCAAAACAGTAGTGATATTATGGTCAATTGTTACTAAATAAACTGAACTCAAATGTTAAGTTTATGGAAACCTAAGGAGTGCAGTAGGAAAAAGTACTGTGTTTAAAAAAAAAAAAAATTCTCCGTCCAGAGAAAAGAAGGAAAAAATGAGTTGACTGTTATAGGAGTAACACTAAGACAAACAATTTCTAGAATGAAATGACTGGTTGATGGCTGATAATTGCTAAAGAAGTCCCTTCTTTGAATATTCTTAAGAAGAGGCAGTTTTCCAGAAAGATTTAGGATTAGTCCTAAATCCTGACATGAAAAAGAGATGAGTTTAGATCAGTGGTTCCTGAAACTGACTCCCTAACAGACCAACATGATAATACTAAAACTATATATGGACTAAAAGTTCCCAGAACCTCTGTGGGTGAGCCCAGCAGTTATTTTTCCAAAGGTCCCATAGTAATTTGAATGCACTCAGTCCTACAGAATTCCTAGGCCTAGGATTTAGATGAACAACTTGTATTCTTAAGATAAACCACAATAAAATGGCAGCAAGCAGAGGTCTTCTCATTTCCCATGCACTTTCAATATGTTAGAGAAGTCAAGTTTGATTGATTCGCCCTCCAGATAATATGGGTCCTCCAGGTGAGAAGAGAGGTCATCTATTTTCAAAGTATCTAAGCCTCAGCCATCAAAGGTCAACTTCAACTAGGACACCTCCATTAAAAAGTCTTTCCTGAGCACAGAGGTTCACACTCAGTCCTTTCCTATTTTAAACTGCGACCAGGATTAACAAGTATTCATCAAGAAGTGGCTATTCCCTGAAGACCTTAAAAGAGCGTACTATAGGGATACTGCTACATCGATGTTCATAGCAGCACAATAAACAATAGCTAGACTGTGGAACCAACCTAGATGCCCTTCAATAGATGAATGGATAAAAAAAATGTGGCATTTATACACAATGGAGTATTACTCTGCACTAAAAAAAAATGACAAAATCATGGAATTTGCAGGGAAATGGATGGCACTAGAGTAGATTATGCTAAGTGAAGCTAGCCAATCCCTAAAAAACAAATGCCAAATGTCATCTTTGATATAAGGAGAGCACTAAGAACAGAATAGGGAGGAAGAGCATGAGAAGATGATCACCATTAAACAGGGTCGAGAGCGGGGAGGGAAAGAGAGAGAGAAGGGAAATTGCATGGTAAAGGAAGGAGACCCTCATTGTTATACAAAATTACATATAAGAGGAAGTGAGGGGAAAGGGGAAAAAAAACAAGAGAGAGTAATGAAGTACAGTAGATGGGGTAGAGAGAGAAGATGGGAGGGGAGGGGAGGGGAGGGGGGGGATAGTAGAGGATAGGAAAGGCAGCAGAATACAACAGACACTAGTATGGCAGTATGTAAAAAAGTGGATGTGGAACCGATGTGAATCTGCAATATGTATACGGGGTAAAATTGGGAGTTCATAATCTGCTTGAATCAAATGTATGAAATATGATATGTCAAGAGCTTTGTAATGTTTTGAACAACTAATAATTAAAAAAAAAGAGAGAAAAAAAAAGAAGTGGCTTTTTTCATGAGTTTCTCCTAATCTTTTTTAGAAAATGGCAGACACCATTCTTTGCATCATCAACAACATTTAGAATAGGACTCTATATATTTCATTAAATTTTTGTTAACCATGAAAAATTCATTTTTGGAAAAAAATGGTCTGATAATCAAGTTTTCTAAAAGCAAAATATTTTAAAACTTCCCCCCTTTGAAACTTCTAAAATCTAACATGTATAGTTATCTCTATATGTTATGTTAGCTATATATACTTTCAAAGAAGTTGAGAAATCTGAGTAAGTATCTCATGATTACTATGCCCACAAAAGTACAAGTGATCTCTGTGTTACTGAACCAGGGGAGACCAATAGTCATTTTCTACTACATATTTTCACGTTCATGTTTCTCAACTGCAAACCTCATGAAATTTGAAAAAAAGGAAAAAAACCCCACCTTTTAATCACATATTAGCTTTCATCTTATTTTGCACCAGTTGCTATTCTCATAAAACCAATATGGTTGAATGGCACTTGGCACATTTCTAGTGCACTGCGTAGTACAAACTAAGACACTCTAGCCTTTTCGCAAGCTGCTAAATTACAATAAATTACGGTAAATTACATGTTTTATTACAAACTTAGTATGTTTAAGATAAAGGAACACCATGAGTCCCCAGGTAGATATTTTCTGTTATATTTGTCCTTAAAGTTAAGATTTATTTTTGGTGTGTTAGTAAAAATTACAAGTGGGATACATTTGTAAATATGAATACAGTGCAGAAATACATAAGATTAAACATGAAAGCTTCCTCTTTACTCTCTAGTGGTAACTACTGCTAACAGTTTTATATATACGTTTTAAGACTGTTAATTATGCATATATAAACATTCACACATATATACATACATAAAATAAATAAATAAAAATAAAAGTGTGTGTATGTATGTATGTATGTACGTACGTACATACTGGGGATTGAAATCAGGTGTGCTTTACCGCTAATTTTTTAAATATTGAGACAGTGTCTTACTAAGTTGCTTAGATTGCTAAATTGCTGACAGTGGCCTTGAACTTGAGATATTCTTGCCTCAGCCTCCCCAGTCACTGAGATTACAGATATGTGCTACCATGCCCGGCTTACATTTTTATTTTTAATCAGAACATTATTATACTACACATATTGTTTCTGTTTTCCTTAATGGAGAACCAATTTGTATATGTAGACCTATATAATTTTTAAAACACATTGTACTGCTTAGCTGCATCACATTTTATTTACACTATTCCTTTACTGGGTTGTTTCCTTTCTTTAATTATTGCTTTTACCAACAATGCTGCAGTGAACATCCCTGTACACACACATATTTTGTGAATGTGCCTCAAAAATATCTAAAAAAGAAAGAAAAACAGAATTTCTGGGTTAAGAGGAATGAGAAATTTCAATTTGAATAGGTATTGCCTCACTGTTTTCAAATGGCTGACAATGATTTGTATCATATCTACTTTCCCACACTATTGTCAAAACTATGTATTATCAAACTTTAATTTACTCATTTGATAGAGGAACAGTGCTTTTACTTTTTAAGTTACATTTTCCTGACTGACTATGAAGTTAAGTATTTTTTCATATACCCTTTTTTGTGGTACTGAACCCAGGCTGCTCTATCACTGACCTACATTCTCCAGCCCCCTTTTTATTGTTTGAGACCGGGTCTTGCTAAGTTGCTGAGGCTGAACTTGAATTTGTAATCGTCCTGCTTCAATCTCCCAAATCTCTGTGATTACAGGCATGGCCACGCACCTGCTCATGTACTTCCTGAATCATTTTTCTTCACCCACTGATGTCCCTTTCTACCCTCTGCTGGCTTATCAAGGGTTTATGGGTCTTTTTCATAGTAACTATTTGTAGCTTTTATGTGATTTGAACATACATAGCTCTTTTGAAATTTTTATGTTTGTGTATTATAAAATTGTTCATTTTTGCCTTAAGGGTTCCTAGTGGCTTACGAAGACTTATCTTATCAGGAAATTACTCTAATATTCTCTCTTAAAAAAAGTTCCTGAATTTTATCTTTTAAGTTTGACCTCTTTGAAACCTTTTTTGTCCATCAACTACAATGGAGACATGCTAATGCAGGAGCCTTCAAGTTAGTCCTGAAATGGAACCCAGCAAATGAAAACTCAGCACACAAACTCAGACGATTAACACCTTTCTTTTCTTTTTAAGCACAACCTACTACACAAACTCAAACATTTTTACTGCCACGACAACATCCAGAGATATGTGCACTTACACAAAATTAAAGTGATTTAAAAGAACAAAACACTGAATAAGATGCAGACTTCCTGACAGTTAGGCAGCACTTACCCATTCCCCTTTAACCTCCACCAGGAAAGCAAAGGTTTGAAAGCAAGGCAAAATACATGTTTAATGAAATGTCTTATTCTTACAGCATATCTAAACTCATTATCTAATCAAGCTGGGGGTCAACTAAGTCAATTCAAGAAAAGAATTTAGAATTGTGGAAACAGGACTAGGTTGAATATGTTCCTGAAAAAGAGCAATACCTTCTCATTAAGATACAGACCACCTGTAACATTCCATATCCTAGATGAAAAATGTTCGTCTCAATTCTTTTCTTTTTTGTGGTACTGAGGACTGAACCCAAGGGGTGCTTTACCACTGAGCTACATCCCCAGACCTTTTGGAGATAGGGTCTCCCGAAGTTGCCTAGAACTGGTCTTAAACTTGTGATCCTCCTGCCTCAGCCTCCCAAGTAGTTGGGATTACATATGTGGCCACCATGCCTGCCCTATTTGTCTCAGTTTTTAACTTACATAGTTCTTTTTTTTTTTTTAACTTTTTTTTTTTAGTTGTAGACGGACACACTATCTTTGTTTATTAGTTTATTTTTATGTGGTGCTGAGGATTAACCCAGTGCCTCACACATGTGAGGCAAGCGTTCTACCACATACATAGCTCTTTTAAAATTCTAAATCATTCCCATATTGAAAGAAATAAAGCTGCTCACAGCAATGTAAAGTTTGACCACTTCTAAGTTATTCTTAAGTGCAGCACTGGATTCAGGAACTACTGTTTTCCTCCAGAAAATCAATCATTAATAATAATAATTTAGGTCAACCACGTTGCTTTGTTTTCTTTCTTAAACTAGTTCCTATAGCTTTAGTCACAATCATAGATTGTATAGTTTTTGTTGTTAAAGGACATAAAATACAACAAAGCAAGATTCTAAACTTTTTATCTATTAATTTTCAGAGTAGTAAGGTAGATTCACTGTACTAAATTCACTACTTATTACATGATTCAAAGTTCACACAATTAAAGGGTAGGGGGAGATGCTTTGACCCCCAAATACAAAAGTTATCATTAGCAACTGTGAATGATAATAGAGTATTTTGCATTTAAAACTATTTCTTAGAAACTACTTAACAGTAAATAGTCATCTAAACTCAGAAACTTCCACAGTTATAAATTAAAAAATATGCTAAGGTGTATTAAGAACATTGTCTTCAATAATTATTTAAAGTGATGTTAGGATATGTTTTTAAAATACAATCTTTCATTCTAAAAGAAAAAAGAAAAAAAACTCGAGTTTATGCTTCAAAAAACTGAATGCTGACTACTGAATATCACCCTAGTTGACACTACTGCAGTTGTCTAACAAAGTGGAAAAAGAGGAAAGGTGCTAATCATCAACAGAATCGACCCTCACTGGAGTCTTTCTTACCATGACTATATCTCCAGGCTGGATGGTGATTTCGTCATGACTTCTGGATTCAAAGGGATACAGTGCTCGGTAATACACCACTTTTACATTCTCCTGTGCAGAAATTGTAAGCGGGCCTTTTTCTGTGTACAAAAAATAGGGGGAGGGGTATGACAAAAAACATTATAAGAAACATCAAAATATGATTAAACCAAACAACCAAGGGCTTCTCTACTGTCCCTCAGATTCGCATCTGAACTATTTCTATCTACTCAAGGAATTTCTGAAACAAATATGAACAACCCAACTAGTGAGGCTCTCTTCAAGGCCATTCCAATGCTGAGTGCAGCAGGGCAACCTAAAGGTCCCTTCTTCCTTCCTCTTGGCCTGGGCTCCACAGGCACACATCTGCAAAGCATCAACACCCTCTCATCCCCACCCAGGCTGTTGAGCACAGACAACTGTTAGGCTCTGATCCCAGGTCTGAATCAGCCAGGGAGAAAGGGAAGGGGAAGGGAAGCACAACTTTCCATATTAACAGACATGGAAATGTTATGTTTCAGGTATTCAACATGGTAATATAACACACAAATGCTTATTTCACCAAAAAGTTATACTGATATTCCTTGGTGAAGTCTTTTGCTACATTTCCTAGCGGGGGGGGGGGGGAAAATCAGCCTAAGGATGGACCCTATATAAACATAATTTAGATTTTAAATGAAATAAAACTTTTAAAAAATGTATACAAGTCAGGTGTGGCACACTCCTATAATCCCAGCAATTTGAAAAGCTGAGGCAGGAGGATCACAAGTTTGAGGCCAGCCTGAGCAATGTAGCAAGACCCTCAGAAACTTAGTAAGACCCTGCATCAAAATAAAGAATAAAAAATAAAATTGGTGCTGGGGTCGTGGCTCAGTGGTTCAGTGCTTACCTAGTACAGATGAGGCACTGAGTTTGATCCTCAGCACCACATAAAAATAAATAAATAAGGTAAAGGTATTGTGTCCATCTATAACTAAAAAAAAAAAGAAAAAAGAAAAAAAAATTTAAAAAAGAAAACAGGCTGTGGATATGGCTCAGTGGTAAAGTGCCCCCTTGGTTCAATTCCCAGTATCTCACCTCTTCACACAAAAAACAAGCATACCAACATAGGATAATTTGATTCTAGTTAACGATAACTCATAACAACCCGCTGAACTTTTCTACTCAAGAACTACAAATATTTTCACACATATTTATCTTATCTAAAAAGCAGCAAAGACAAATTTTTACTTCCATGTGGTCTTGAACTGTGTGATACAAAAAATTCTCTCACTGACCAAACAAGATAAATAAATCCTCATTTTAAACTAGGAGGAAGTACCAGGAACTTCAGCCATGGTGCCTGAACCAACTCAATATCCCTACTCCCATCCCTGCACACTGTGCACAACAGAAACAAGTAAACCTTTATGAAATGGTTTGGAAGTGTATTTGATTTATTTCTGTATACTAGAGCGCTAAAAAAGGACACTGACCAAACTAATAAAACCAGTATAATTTACCACACAAACCAAAAGTCATCACTGTCTCCTACTGAGAATTATTTGCAAAGCTGTACACAACCAAACAAGGATTTTGAAAGTATATTTTAGCTTGTATCTGATGATATTTATATAGACAGTTTTTTATAGTCATTTCAATTATCCTTCACATCTTTTTTTTTTTTTTAAAGAGGCAAATTATGTACAAAGGACACAATAGTCATACTTTCCAAAAAGTAGAAAACAGTGAGTGCCACACTGCTATAGGCAAGGGAGAAAGTTGCCACATCTTGCTGCAGGAACATCCTAGAAATTTCTGGCAAAAATATCAATCAGAAGCAACCAATTCTTTTTGCAAGATAGGTCATCTATATAGACAACCATCATTAGTGATGTTAGGCATATGAGTGGGGTTTGATAATGGAACTTGATGCCACAGAGGAAGCCTGGATGCCAGTGGAGTGGAACAGAGGCTGTTTAAATAGAGTTTTAATGATTCTGAGGAAGGAAGAGCTGCACTGTCCAAAACAAGAGACTGACAATCTCATCTCTGTGATGGAAATGAGACAGGGCTGATTAGACAGACATTTCTCAACAGGCTCTTGGAGAGTATTGACTTATTTTCTAGAATCCTTTTTTTTTCCCCCCTTCCTGGTGCTGGGGATGGAACCTGGGCCTTGTGCATACTGGGCAAACCCTCTACCACAGAGCAATACGCCCAGCCCCTAGAATCAATCTCTTTTGGCATCTAATACCTGCAGTGGACCAGGGTGCTTGAACAGCTGGCTTAGCTAGTTCTTGGTGTGGATGGAAAAGCCGACTCAGTTTGTCTTGTGCTTCCTGTTTGCCTTTTTCCTCGCCATCCTTCTTTTTGACACTGTCTTCCCTTTTTAGTTTATCTTCCTCGTGGAGTTTTCTTGGCCGCTGATGCTCATCCTCCTGCTGCACATGCTCCAGCCACTGTTTGTCCCTTTCCTGAGCTCGTCTGCCAACAAAGATGCTTGATTATGGTGAGGAAGCAACTCCAATTGAATACTACTGCTGTCTTTTTTCACTAAAAAGCTCCTAGTCAATGAGCTGCTAAACAGCAAAGGAATATTGTTCTTCAGATAGAGCAACTCAATCAATGAAACAAAGGCTTTCGGGGCTCCAATTCTGAGACAAAAATCACATGATTTAGAAAAACCCAGAAAGAAAATATGTGATGTATTTCATAAAGTGGTTGTAAGAATAAGAAAAAGACACTTCTCAATGTTGAAACTGGTATTAAACTACAAAAAACAAAGCCACAGAACACAGAGGAACATACCTTTTATGAAGATAAACTGTACCCAAAAAGCTGCAAACGCAATATTGCTTAAATAAGCCCATGATCACTCAGAGCATTAAAGTTCCTCTATAGCTAAGGCACACCATACTAACATGCCCACATTGCTCCCAAACCTGAAGCTGAACGCAAGAGATTATTCTACTGACTTTGACTAATTTTTGTTGTTGTTCTGCAAAGTAGCTGACATAGCTAAATTTAGGCCTAAAAATTATGTTGGCCTCAATCTGAAATTCACAGGGAAAGACTGGGAATGAGTTTTTGCTCATTCCATTCAAAATCTGAAACACTTAAAATAAAATTAATGTTCAATTTTATAATGATAACTGGCTCTCTATATATCAACTCCTTTAATGCAGACATCAGGCAGGTAGGACCTGTAGTTATTCCCATTTTATAGATGAGGAAGCTGAGGCACAGATATTACATAACCCATATCACAGAGCCATCCATGTCTATTCAATCCCAAGCAGCCTGCCTGGCTCCAGTGTCCACCTTGAACTACTCTCCTGTGACATGGCAATGCACAAGGGTCACCTTTTGGAATCAGAAAGCTGCCACAGGAACATTATATAAACAGAGTACACTTTTATTCTCCTTGTCAAAAAATTACATTTATTTCTACTTTATGAACATGAGAATTTAGTGCAGATTTTTTTAAAAACTTAAACCTTAAACATTTTACTTACAATTTAAAATTTTTTTAAGAAAATACAGGAAAAAAAACTCCCACATTTATCAGAAGGGTAGAAATGTTAATTGTCATCCTTAACAAACAAACAAAAAAGACCACAATGAAAACAACTTTAAATTTTCTACCAGTGAAGGTCACCATATTTATAGCATATAACCAGCTAATAGCTAAAGTTAAGTTTTGGGTACTATTTATGTAATTGGAATATCTATTACATATTATATTTATATTATGATATTTTCAGTTTATTTCTACTCTGTAGAAATGTCAAAGTTTGGTGTAGCAGAGTATAAATAATGAAAGCATTTTATAAACTTTGGCAGAGTTAGAGTTAGTTGCCAAAGCCAGGGTGGTAATCCTTAGTCGCATCCCTCAGGGAAACCAAAAATAGTCCTCTAAGTCCACCCAAGATCACCCCCCCACACACACTGGCATTAAGAAACAAAAACATAAATAAACAACAAAGTGGACTCAGAGTATTCCATATACCTGTAAAGAAGTATGCACAGGTGGGGCAGTTTAGAAGAGTTCATTCCCCAAAGGCAACAACCTGCCTCAGGGTCCATTTCTTCCTCTTTTCCGTCTAATTTTAATAAGTAATTTTACAATTTATAGCAAATCACTGGGATATTTGGTGATTCTTTTTGCTTAAGGGTCTAAAATTAACTGAAGTTCAAAAAGCAAATACCTATTAACAAAATCAGACACACCAAGAGGTAACAATTTCCATATTTACTACAGAATGAATATTACAAGGAAAAATAAACTGCAAACACAAACATCCAAACAAAAAAGACATAAAAATGAGTTTCTATCCTAAGCAGCAGTGGCAAATCGTATTCTTTTGTACTCAAGCTGAATTTGCAGTTGCATAAAAGAAGAAAAGAGACAGAGAGGCACAATCCTGGTCTTGCTGGAGAAGTCCTGTGTGGCCAGCCAGCTAGGGGACTTTGATTTCAAACCAGGCACTTTGACCGACACCGTTATTAAAAGGCTGTGGACTGGAAACGTATTTTGGTCATTAGCATGCAAATGAGCCAACCAAGTGTCCCAATTTCCTTGTATAATTCCATTTATCTACATAGGAGAGCTCTGGGAACTAACCAAAACCTTCAGGGGGTACTTAGATATACAAAGATTTATGATACATGTGTTTGTGCCTGTCTATACACACATTAAAGACTGAAGGCTTTTTCTGATATAGTAACTCCCTGGAGAAGCCAGACAAAGAAGAGTAAATACTTGAAGTTTCTTCCCAATGGGACCATAATCCACTGCAAAGACTCACCTTTGGGCTTCTTCTTTTTGCTTTTCTAATTCTAGGATCTTTCGTTCCTGTTCTTTCTGTTTCAGTCGTTCAGCCTCTATGGACTTTTGCTTCTGCAGTTGCTGCTTATTATGTATTTCTCTTAGTTCCTATAAATGATCAAGACACCATTTATGTAATGAAACGAGGGGACAGGCATTAACTGTTTATCAGCATGCAACATTTCACAGTGGGGAGCCTAGGGCACTTAGGAAATGACATTCAGGGCTGAAGAACATTAACTTGGAAAACAAAACTCTCTCTACATTTGACATGACTGATCTCCAAAGGCTGCTCAAGATTACATTCCAATGAGCCACAACACATTATACCACTTCTCATGATTTGATCTAGAAAGAACTTGTTCATGGGGGCCAGTGGAGGAGCTATACTGACAAAGGCTCAGTGATAACAGTGGAAACGTAACCCTTTTTATTTTTTAAAATTTTTCTTTTCTTTTTTTTGGTACCAGGGATTGAACCCAGGGGCGCTAAACTACTGAGCTACATCCTCAGCCCCTTTTTATTTTTGTATTTTGAGACAGAGCCTCACAAAGTTGCTTAGGACCTCACTAAGTTGCTGAGGATGGCTTTGAACTCATGATCCTCCTGTCTCAGCCCCTCAAGCTGCTGGGGTTACAGCATGTGCCACCATACCCGGCAACTTAACCCGTTTTAAGACACTGTGATGTTCCTCAATAAAATCTTATGGTTCTGAGAATGAATCCTCACCTACCTTCACTGGCTTAGAAAACATACACACCTCTTCACACATTACATCTATAAAACTTCTCCTTCTTATGACACTGCCTTATAGGAAATAGACAGCTCTGCTCCATGACCTTATTTCTTCCCCTACCCAAGTGTGTATTTTCCCTCAAATCATAACTCCTCCAGATCCTATTCTCTTACTAAATCCATGGATGAAGTTGCCAATGGCTTTTTTTTATTATTAGTTGTTCAAAACATTACAAAGCTCTTGACATATCATATTTCATACATTTGATTCAAGCGGATTATGAACTCCCATTTTTACCCCGTATACAGACTGCAGAATCAAATCGGTTATACATCCACTTTTTTACATACTGCCATACTAGTGTATGTTGTATTCTGCTGCCCTTCCTATCCTCTACTATCCCCCCTCTCCTCCCCTCCCCTCCCCTCTTCTCTCTCTACCCCATCTACCGTAATTCATTTTAAACTAAACCAGAAGTCAGGTTGAAGGTAAAGAGGTCATTTGATAATGATCTCCTTGGATTAGATTTCCTCATTTGATACCAGTCCCAGGAATAACCTTAATTTCCTTCCCAGACTACTGAAAATAAAATGCATTCTATGACACTGAATCACAGGTTTAAACATTCAAAAGAATCCAAAGAAGAATAAGAAAACAATTGTTGAGGGGGAAACCTGTTCCATAGGACTCCAATGGTCATTAATAGATTCAGCCACCAAAACTCCTCTTACTTGGGTCAACAATAGATCAGGTATGTCAAAGTTGTAGCTCAGTGGTAAAGTGCTTGCCCAGCATACAGGATGTTTTGTTTTGGGCAGTGCTGGGGAATTGACCCAGCTCTGCTGGGGGTGGGATGCTCAGTAGAGTCAGGAATGCATTTCTGGTTGACTCCTCAGTCTTTCTAATCAGAGCTGGTGCTCCCAATAGGCAGCTTGGGGTCAACATAGTGAGATTTGGGATTAAGGCCTGCCCTGTCTTCTATCATTTTGCTCTCAGGTAAATCTAAATGGGCAGTTTTCTTTCAGGTTCCCTACCTTTAGATTTGTTCTTGATCAACAAAGATAGAGAGATTATCTGTAGCAGGTCAATGTTTAGAAAAAAGCCCCAAGCATTAAACTAACCTTTTCTTACTAGACTGTTACAAGAATAAAGCTGGAATGTATATACAAGTGTTTTGGAAACTATAAAAGGCTTTGAGAGGCTTAAAAGGGAACAAAGAGATACAGAAAAAACTGGAGATTAGAGGAGTGTGGGAAGAAGGTACTGGTAAGGAGAGAAATTGGAGAAAAGGTAGAAGATAGGAAGAAAGGAAGGGCTTTGTGGAAAACACAGCAGACAAGCCCAGGAACTTTCAGGCAGGACACAGCAGGGACAGGCAACTCTTAAGGTGAAAATTGAAAGGCTCTTTGCTATGGCAGCAGCCTTGGGTACAGGGCTTCTGAATCAGAAAGGGCACCTGGGACAGGAGCTCAGCCAGTGATGGGGCAGAGGTTGTCAAGAATGGAGACTGAAAATTAACAATGTAGCCTCCCTCAGACAGTTCTGACTGCGAGGTGAAAGCCAACTCTAGAAAAAAAAGAATTCCATTGTTCATTACCCTCCTCACTGCCGTATTGCGGAACGTTAAACTTAATTTTAATGTGTTAAAAATTCAGCCATATTAGTTTTCATAGTAATTTGGAATCAAGAATAAATAATAATCTCTAATTAATGAGAATGAAAAATCTGGTTAATATTTTGAAGAGAAACAAAATGAGCCAAATCCTGTTGTTAAGAATAATCTGCATTCTTGGCTCAAGTCAGTAAATCTGCATGAAAAGGGAAACTGGAATGGAGTGATACTAAATCAAACTCTGCCCTAAGGGAGAGATCAGAGCCCAAAAGTCAGCACACGCAAATAGGAAAGACCTCATCTATCATTAGTTCAATGGCAAAGACCCTTCATAAGGAAGCATAAGTCACAGAAAGATCCAATTATTCCTATTTGAAATTTCATCCTTAATAACATAGAATTCATACATAGATCCTAAAATAATTTATTGTTAAAAAAAAAAAAAAAAAAACCAGCCCTGTAACTACAAGGTCTTGAGAACCAAGACATCTGGGTCCTAATACCAGGCCCCTGACATGGGCCAGCAGCTGAATCACAGAGTAGATGATCTTTAGGGTTTATTTTAGTTCCAGGAACGGTTGTATTCTCAGACAGTATTCATCACATGAAAATGTACTCTTAATTTACATCAGTGTCTCTTTAATTAGGATGTTATTCTTACTGCAGGAATAAGACAAAAAGCAATGAACAAAATAAACATGAGCTGAAATCAAATACAAAAGACAAGAAATGATAGAGAGGAATACAAGTTTAGTTTACTGTTCAAGAATCTTTACATATTTTTAAAAAGTTATTTATTCAGGAGAAATGTATTAATAGCAGTGATATTAAAGATATTTAGTAAGAGGTACAGCACAACCGGAACCTAGGTACAGCACAACCGGAACATGTGCCAGGTAGTCATGGGCACAAATGAAGATGTTTCACTTTTCCTAAGAATCACACTACACATTTCCTTCCTATACTGAGCTCTAGTGACTGGATGTGGATTGGTAAATTAATTTCCAGATACAGTCAAGACAGATGGAAATAAAGCCAGTAATCTGTTAGGAAGTGCTACAAAATGAAAAAGTAACAAGAAGTGAATTTAAAGAATCTACAGAAGAAATTATGCCAATGAGACAGTTTAAAAAACAATTATTTTTTTTAATTTTGTTGAGAGAGAGAGAGAGAGAGAGAGAGAGTCTTTTTTTGTAGATGGACATAACACAATGCCTTTATTTTTATGTGGTGCAGAGAATCGAACCCGGGTCCCGCCTGTGCTAAGCGAGCACTCTACCACTGAGCCACAATCCCAGCCCAACAATTATTTTTAAATGTATCAAATATATGAAGGAAGAAAAAATTTAAAATGTATTTATTTCTGAGCATAAATAGGTTCAGCACTATAGCACAGGTTGAACCTATCTTTGGAACTACCTAAATAAGTTGCTGCTTCAAGTACCTCCAAGGAAATGGAACTTGTGGGAGCCATAAAATAACAGATGTCAAAGAAGGTAACAGAAGGCTCTGGCAGCTTAAAATCCAGATTTGAAGACTGAGAAGATTTTCAATTATTTTCTTCATCCAAGTTAAACATTGCTGGGATACACAATCGATTTTAAGGCAATGGAGGTGATCTTATAGCAGGACTGGCAAGCATTCTGGGTCTTCTTTATCTTTGGACTTGGGAGTTAGATGGTACAAACCAACATGGGGAAAACATTTATAATTTTACGATGATAAGGTTTTTCAGAAAGTTGAACTTCTGAGAAGGTAATCTATAAATGCCAAACATGTACTAAAAACTAGTGAATGGCTTTCGTTCCTTGGCCATAACAAAGCCCGTTTGGAACACTGAGTCCTTTCACACAGGGTGGCAGATGGCTGCATTATTCTCCCACTATTTTTCAATACTGTTAAAGAGACTGAAGTCCAATTACAATTATTATTTAAAGGCACTTTTTAAATTTTTTTCAGGGAAAAATATTTCAAGGTGAGAAACAAGTCTGGTGTCATTAAATTGCTTAATTATGTAGGAAATTGGTGAATTTATTATTGGGAGAAGTAAATAAGAAAAATTCTAACACACTAAATATAATAACTTCTCCTAGTGGGAACCTGATTACAGTGATCCTGCAAATTCTATTAAATGCCCATATACTTTGTCACAATTATGTCTCTACTACAATAAAGGCAAAACGAAACAAAGAAACGACTAAGAATTTAAAAAATCAGCATTTCCTTCATGGCTCTTAAGAAAATTAAATTAGTTTTTCTAAAGCCAATCCCTCTACAATCACACAAATATGGTTGGTTATTGCTATAAGCATACAACTTTATTGATTTTTCCTTAGTAAGGTCTACTCAGGGGTATGATACGTTTGTTTACATTAGTTATAATGGGTAATAATTGAACATTGTCTCCCAATTAAGTATAATTGCTTTCTTAATAAATAAGAGATCATTAAACAAGCACTCAACAAGAGTAAGCTACATGTTACAAACATGGCAAAAAGGGAAAAATTATATAATATATGGTATATATAAGTTATAATAGTAAGTTTTAAAAAAAAATATTATGAGATAGGGTCTTGCTATGTTGTCCAGGCAGGGCCTGAACCTCCTGAATATCTGAGACTAGAAGCATGTACTAACTATGCCCAGCTTAAAATAATAAGATTTTTATCACCAATAACATGAACAGATTTTTAAAACTATAGATTTGAATTTCTTAACCAAAATCCATGAAAAAGCTTTGGCCCTATTTTAAAAACAACT